TCTGTGGTGGAGGCACTAATGTACCTGTAAATTAATTTTTTAATTTCTGTGGGAATTATCAAGGTTTTGTCTGCATATTTTTTTCATTAATCTGATTACCAGGTAATATGTGGCTACATACAGCTAGATATTCTAACATTTCTTTACAGGATATTTAACGAGGCTAATGACTAGTGCTATTATTTCAATGTTGAAAATGAATATTTAGTCTCAAATATCGGTGTTGTTTATAACAATTATCTGTCAATAAAATATAGTAGTCCTGCTTTTCCGATTGTACATTCACTTCTGTGGAATGCAGTGCAGACTTATGTTGGCTTAGTATGCCCTGCAGGTGATCGCTGATTACTTGCACCATTAAGTGGCTGACTTGTATATAAAAGTTGCGGACCCCTACTGTATAGTACGTATAAGCAATACGGTAACTGCCAATAAAAAGAAACAACTGAATCAGTGTCGAGAATAAATTGACGAACTGATGCATAATGCTACGTACTTGAAATTTTGCTATTCAATCTTATTTCATTTCACTGTACAGTATTTGAAAATGTAAGTGAATGGCAAGTTATTAAATCATAAAAAAGTGCTGTACAGTAAACCCTCAATTTACTTTGCGTATTTACATTACCCTGCATTATAAAATGCCACAAAGATTTTTTTCCATCAATTTAGTTTTGAGGTTTGCTGTAGTGTTTTATAGAAACAAAAAAGGTAATATCTCCATTCTTCAAAACTCTCCAATATCCGGAATTGAAATTTGTTCCAAAATTTTCCGGGAAATTTCTCTCAATTCCGGGTCTGTGAACAATTTTCCAAGGTTGAAAATCAGGCACATTTTCTGGAAAATTCCGGAAACTCTCTCCATTTTTTTCCGAGTCTGGGAACACATTCTGAGGTTGAAAATCAGGCGTATTTTATGGGAGAAAAAAAAAAAAAAAAAAATGGAAGCTCCCCAAAAAAATTTCCCCGGGTCCGTAAGCAAATTCTAAAGATGAAATAATAAGTAATTCTGGAAAATTCAAGAAACTCCAAATTTTTTTCCAGCTCTGGAAGCAAATTCCGAGGATGAAATAATGTGCAATTTCCAGAAAAATCTGATAAACTTTCCTCAGTACCTGGAAAAATTCTGGGGATGATGAATTTTTCCAGGGTTGAGAGTCATCTTGTTACCTGGAAATCCCTCATCCCTGGAAGTGCTCTACACCAATTGATCCAGCTTACGGGGATATTACTGGACCCTATACTGTACTGTACTATGCTGTATAGTAATTGTCTATAACAATTTAGCAACAGCTGCCAAAATCACAAACAAATTTGTGTGCACAGGACACTCCTCAAGAAGTTAAATGTTTACAATGGTGAGAATGCTCCAACACAATTGAAATTTGGTGATTACACATCAACTCAGAACATAAAAGCCATTGAGGATCTAGTACAAGACAAAACCAAAAATTATATCAGGCTGAAAGTAGTAAATGATTTCCTGGGCTTCCCTAACATTTTGGAAGAAATGACATTGTTGCCTTAGGACACTGAGAGGAAAGGGCTTTGATGACAATCAGGAGTTCAATGTCTGTGAGATGCACAGCAATCGTTGCCAGGAAAGAATATTATAAATTTTTTTGGAAGTCATGGGCTGCATACCTGTTTCCACTGTAAATACCTGTAGTTAACTGATATACACAAATTCAGTTTACATTATATTCTCCAAGGATTTATCCCCCACAAAACAGAACATTTATTGTGCAATATACAATGGACTGAGAAGTGAAGTTTTCATTAAAGACTTTCTGATAAAGTGCAACATGATTCCACTTGGCAAATGTTTCAAGTCCTCTTATTTAAAATGTTGAGACATTCTTCAAATAGTGGGCTTGGAATGGGATCTCGACATTGAGTCAAGAGGTGGCAAATGTGCACTTTACTCATTTGTACTCGTACATGCACTGCCATATGAAATGTCAGGCTTTTACTTAAAAAGTATGTTTAATTTCTTAAATATATTAGAATATTCAGCTTCGTGGCAAAAGAGAATTGCACAGAGAAAATTACTGTATTTAATGTTTATTATAGTTTCCGTTCCATATACAGAATTTTATATATACAAAAGATTAATACATAAATTGTACTGGTAGGTATGGATTAAAATTCCAATAATAACAAATACCCACTGTTCAATAATAAAAAAAGGAGTAGTATTTTCATATTCACACGAATACACAATTTTAAAAAATGCGAAAAAGCCCTATCAAAATAGTAATCTTTGCAAAAACGCAAATTTATGTACAGTATCATCCAAACCTTTGAAGTCAGTAAATATACACATCCTATTCTAATCACAGGTTTTTTCTTTTGCTTAATGCAAAAAAAAAAAATTATGGCATGGATTAGCTTGACTAAGTGGAGACAACTTCCATTAAATGTAGAATTATATCAAAGAAAACAATAATTTGTCACTTTAAAATAAACATGATTGACTTTTTCAATTCCCCCAAAAAGCACTAGTCTCCACAAAGAACTCATGCACATACCTAAATCACAGATTCAGAAAAATATGTCCTACAGAAAAAGGTTTTTTCATTAAAGCGTAAAATATAACCTTAGGCATTTTATATTTACATTTCTTGATAACTTCACAATGAAGACAAAAAAATCCAGGAAAGTTAATTCTTGAATATAAAGCATAAGTTTGTAACACCTTTGCAGGATAAAAAAAAAAAAAAAGTATCAGTATATTAAACATCATGAAGACAGAGAATGATTCAAAATGAAATGAATACATGTGAGGCATTGTGACGATGTAAATGAAAAGACGAAAAAGAGGGTAGGAAGGTTGGAGGCTCAGTATCCTCTCATAGGTCAGGCAAGAAATTATTCAGTCATTAAGAGCTGGTGCATTTAATGTGTTCTTTATTGTCTGCAAAACTGTTTTTTTGTTCTTCTGTGTTGATATCTTTAACAAATTTCTTTTCTTTTCCTGTCTCCCACAACATTTCTTTACAATTATCATGCTGATGAGTCCTGGTACCTTTCTCATCTTCTTCTTTATCAGTGTCATTATTCTCTTGATCTTTACCATTCTCAAATATATGTGGACATACAACAATATTTTCTTCACTATCTTTATCTGGTAGTTTAGTTCCCATCACTTTTTTCTGAGGCTCTGTTTCTAAAATATTATTCTCAATACTTTGAGAAATGAAACTAGTGTTGCATTCTTCCTGCTCTTCTATGTTTAATTTGTCATTATTAGCACCTGTGATGAGTGAAACTGGCTTAGAATTATTATGGTTACCATTAGACTTATTGGTTTCGTATATATTTTCATTTTCCACTTTGTTTGGAATACTACAGTCATCATTATCACTATTGCCCTGCAGTTCTTCATTAACATGCTGCTGCTTCATTTGAGGAAGCTGATGTGAAGAATTTGAGTCTTTGCCTTTTGTAACTGGCAACTGGGTATTTCTTCCCTTGATGAGAGTATCCGGTTGAGTAGGAATTCTTTTGTTTTGCACAAGTAGCTGCGATGCAGTTCCATTACATGTTTCGTGAGGAGAGCCATCATTAACAATTTTCATCTTCTTAGTTGGCATTTCTGACCTTGGAGAAGAATTCCGTCTCCTTGTCCCAGGTCTATCCTCAAATTTACGTTCTAGACCTTTCTTGGGAGTGATACTACGTTTACCAATCTCTGTCTCAAGTTTCTGAAATCCTGAACGTTTAGTATCATAGATGAAGTCTTTTTGTTCTATACTTCGTCTCAATCTTTGTGGTCTTTCAAATCTTCCCTCCTCTGTTTCCTCAGCAATCTGATTCTTGTGACCTGAAGAATCTGTTTGGCCCCTGAGAGGATATGGCTTTACAAGGTTTGGATTACCTTTCATAATATTAGATTCACTGCTACTGTTAGTAATTTCATTATTTTTATTATTCACACTTAAAATTGTTTTTGAGCTCTCATTGTCAACTTGTACTAATTTCCCTTTGTCAGATTCTTGGGTATCTGTAAATGACAGCACAATAATGGAGTTGTTTAAGTCTTCTTGAGAACCAGAGGTTGAATTTTTAGTTGTATCAGTCTGAGTAAGATTTCTGTTGACATTTTCAGATACAAATTTTGCACTATCTGTGGAAGGATCCAGTATGCTATCAGTAGATTCACCTGTAACTAAAGTCTTAGATTCATCCTGAAAATATGAAACTTTTTCACTTTCCTCAACATTTTGTATCTTGACACAATCTGATAATTTGCTTTCTATTACCATGTCATCTCCTTCCTTTTTTTCACTGCTTGTCATATTTGGTATTTCATTAGAAATATTATCTTTGGCATTGGATTTATTTACAGATTTTTTAATAACCAGTGGTGGTTTGATGTTTTCTGTAGTTCCTTCAGGTTTTTCATTACAGTTCTTGTTATCATTCAAGCAACTAGCAGAGATTTTACCTGAAGATGCTGAAGTGCTTCTTGAATGTGACCCATGACTATCTAATTCGTCTGCATCTGAAGACAATGAATTATCATCTTCGCTGTCTAAAAAGTATCGCAAGGGGCCAAAACTTTCATCATCCATTATTGTGCTGGCAGCAGAATGCTCATCAACATTATGATCAGAGATAGTGTGACGAACAGTTTCATACTTATGGTAGCTCCTAAACTTACAGAGGCTACATGTAAAACGTGTCCAGTTGAAGTGCAGAGAGGCATGGCGCTTTAGTGCTGTGATTGATTGATATCGCTTTGCACACGGAATACATGTCAAACATTCTATATTGCAGAATTCACTCATCATTATTTCAATTTTTCGCTGATTTTCTTTTTCTTGTTCTTTTGGAATTTTAGGAACTTTAAATGTTATCTGATTCTGCTTATGTTCTCCACTGTTATTAGTTCTGTTTGGGCTTAGAGGAATCATTGATTTCTTGTAATCCTTTCGTATTTGTATTGCTATCTTTTTCTCGGGTCTCTCAGAACGTAGTCGGCGATTGAGAGCGCCCTCTGGAAGAATGTCAGGCCTCATTTGCAGAAGACAGCAGAATTTATCATGGGATATCAATGCTGCAAGTGACATGAATTTTCGGAGACACTTTATACAACGATGCTCAGGAGGGCAGCTGCTGCTGAAATCATCTCTCTGAAATACATAAAACTAGCTTTAATATACTTATTGCATTCAAACATTTGAATAATTATAAGTAATAACAACTATATTCTTATTTTCTTTATTTAATTATGTTGATGATATTTCAGAACTGAGGGTTCAGAGTGGTGGAGAGAAATCATCACTATTATAATTATGAATTAATCATAATTTTTTTTAACTGATCACCAGAAAAAATCTGTCTCCTTAATCTGGAAATCACAACATTGCTGGGCACACATCAACAAATGTTACCATAACTGATGAATATACAACTCACATAAATATTGCATTGAGTAGATAAAAATAAAAACAAAATAATGATCACCTTTAGTATTCAAAATGGCATTTCTAAAACAGTAGTTTACAGTATTGTAAATTACAATACAGTGGTCCCTCGATTAACGAACGGTTCAATTAACGAAATTTTGATTTACGAATTAGCTCCCATAAGGATTTTCAGTTCCATTAACAAACAAAACTTCGATTAACAACAGCATTACGAGAAAGACGCTTTGTTGTGCGCATCAGCTGATCAGCTAGTCCTCCAATACAGTACTGTAATTGGTTCTATGTTTACATTCGTTTCCAGTGGAGTAAACATCAAGAAAGAAGTGCTCTTGAATATTTTTGCATTTTTTATATTAAAAGTATTGGTCATTCTAAAATTTAGTTTACATATTGATAATATATACATTACTACAGGGAACGGTTTTTGTGTGCCCTTCAGCTGATCGAATCACCCACTAACGCTTCTCAGGTAACTTTGTTTACAGTGTAGTGAACATTGAGTTTGTTGGTCTCTTGAATATTTTGGCAGTTTTACATTAAAATTATTGGTCAGTCTGAAATTTAGTTAACATATTGATAATATACAGTGCAAAAATTATTATGAAACACGAAGAAGGCATTAGAACAGCGGTTCCCAACCTCAGGTCGCGACCCAAATCAGGGTCGCAGGGTGTCCTCAGACAATTTTAAAAATATAGTACTTATCATAAAGTAAAAAAATTTGCTTAAAATTCAAGCTATATAAAATAATATATGCCTGAGGATCACGACACCGTATTGTTGGGAAATTTAGGGTCTCAGCTAAAAAAGGTTGGGAACCACTGCATTAGAACCAATGCACTCTGTAAAGAATATATGTCAACTTCGACTGCCTCTACAATCAGCTGTTTGATATGTAAACAATGCCGCCGGGAATACGACATACACACCTCAAAGTAAGTTAAATTATAATACCTGTATTACGAAATTTTCGGTTAACAACCGACTCTGGAACCAATTGTGTTCGTTAATCGAGGGACCACTGTATAAGATTATATACTAAATATGAAGTAAAGATTGGAATAACCAATTTTCTAATAATCAGACACTGCATTAGCTTCTTTCTCATCTGACAGTTGTAATTCAGCAATCTTCAATTGTAATACAGCATTATAATAAACCTTTAATGGTACATAACTGCAATTCCATTCCTGTTTAATAATTTTACTCCAGTAATACAGCACTACTTAACACAGTATAACAATTTCAAGCTTCAGATTAGCCTATTCCCCCAGCTATTTCCTGGCTCCAGCTCACAAAAGTATCTGACTTACATTCACACATTCATTCTCAATTTTTTATAATTGCTACTACTTTCTGTACCATGAATGTAAAGGTTGTTACTCCATCCTTCATTGCCTATGCTAAAAAGAAGAGCAAAACTGATGCTCTTCCTAACCATTCAATCAAGCTAGTCTACGTTTACTGAAGCAGAAGAGTAACAGTTCCAGTAATGTCTGATAAATTATTGACTAAACAGAGGTATACCAGGATGCAGGGTGTATCACTTGGTAGTCCAGAAAATTTACAAATACAAAATTTCACTGGCAGTATTTCTACTGGACTAGAGATTGGCCAGTGTATATACTATATGCACACTTGACAAAAAATTCAAACAATAGTTTGGTAGCATCTGGTATCTAATTCAAGGTTATATTAGTCAGAGATTGGGATTTTAATGTACGTACTGTATATTTGTTTTGGAGACTTTTCTTTGTATTACAATGTTTTTTCATGTTACTCTGATATACTGTATTGTAATTCATAATAAAATGCAGATATAAACCAATCACATAGACAATCCACAATAGATGCCACATACTGCCAAGTTTCAAATAATTATTTTTTTTGCAACAGTAAGTTATACCCTGTACTGTACTTATCATCAGGTTTCAGGTGACATAGTAAGTCAATAATCTCAGTCTACTGGCACAGTACATTAAAAAAAATACGTACACATTACACACGATGAAAGAAGATATTGATCAGTGTAGGTCATAATCATAGCTCAGATCACCAAATGTTGTAGGATCTCGCATTACTGCAGCTTCATCCAATGTAGTCCCATCATCAACTACAATTGTGCTGTGATGATCAGGAATAGGAAGGTCTTCCAACATAATAAGTTCTGAAGCTTTGCTTTGTATAGAGGATGATGAATCATGTGATAATGTTGTCCACTCTGTTGAGGCAGGATTTTTTTCATATTGCCTGAACAACGAGACTTCATTTTTGCTATGAGCTGTGCCTAATTCCGAGTCACTGGCCATAAAATTTTCCTGTGTGTTGTCTGTGAGAGTGTCGGCACATAATTCATCACTAATTTTGGCCTTCTTCTGGGGTGGATGACCTTCTTTCCACATATTTCCCTTCATATATTGTACAGTGGTGAAACCAGCAAAATCTCCCCTAGACATTTGCTGATCAACATCTCCTGATGTTCCAGCAAGTTGGGGATCTTTTGAATCTTCATCAACATTACCACTAAGACTGCATTTGTGTGTTTCTGATGGTGTACTGGAATTAGAGTCTCTTCTTTGGGACACTTTCTTAGAATTGACTCTTGCCTTGGCTGCCATCACAAACTTCCACAATTCTTTATTCTTCTCTCTTTTACACCATTTCCATTGTGGATTTGCAGAAAGCTGTGCCCAATCTTCTCTGACTTTCTGTAGCAGACTTTCTTCCCCTGATGCTTTGGATTCACTGGAAGGTGAGTTTACACTTCTTTGAGGAATTATAGTGTGATCCTCAACCATTAATTCATCTCTGTCTATCCCTTTATCATGTGATGTTTCAAAATCTGTCAAAAAGGTTTCAATGTCTAATGATGTTTTCTGAGATGCAGAAGTTTTCATCATCTTTGACTTCTTTAATGTTTCCATATTTTCTAGCACTAAACAAGAGAAGCCACCCTCAAAAATCTCTCGCTCTCTCTTTTTTGATTTCAACAAATCTGAAGCTTTAACATCATAGCATTTCACTGTTTCTTTAAATTTTGAGGTTTCAGTTTCTGTCCTCTCTAAACTAGAACTAGTATCTGTCCTCATACACTGTACATATTTAGAATCCAAACTAGAGGTTATGTTAGTTACTACACTGATTATTGTATTCTTTTCTGTGGGATTATCTTCTTGCTGCTTGCTTAAATGATCAAGCTCTTGTGCTGCTGAATTACTTAACTGACTTTCATCACGATCACTTTCTTCCATTTCAGATTCCCTCTTAGAATATTCCAATTTTTTACTATCCTGTTTCTCTGAAGGGGCTTTTGAACTACATGGATCAGTGACCTTTGCACCTTGGAGACTTGGCTGACTCAAGAGAGGACATGATTTAAACTCCAACTGTTTAAATCTAGCTTGGGTGTTGAGATCATCACTTGCTGATACACCTGGTAAGCTCTGGATATTAACAAAGTTCTCGGACTCATTCAACACATCCGTACCAGTTTTCACAACATATGTCTGCAGTTTCTGGAGATTAACTCTGCCCTTAACTTCAATATTTGAATCTTCAAATCCCTCAAATGTTATGTTCTCAGCTATTTCTCTGTTAATTGTTTTCACCCCTTTTGGCTCTACTTTTCCTTCTGGTTCATAAGCTATAACTGTTTTCAGAAAATTTCTTTCTAACTTCTTTGCAGCAGCATGTTCTCCATGATACTGCTTAAATTTTTCTTCCTCTTTTCTTGTTTCCTTTATATTCTCTATGTTACCAGAAACCTTTGATGTATTTTCTATTGAGCTAGTAACAGGGTTCTGATAATGTTCAGAATGAATTATACAGTCACTTGTAATGCTTTTAGTCTGAGCTAAAGGATCTTTATATTTACAAGAAGTGGAAGGCAACATAAGTTGAGCAACTGATGTACAATTTTCATCAGGGGTCATGTCACTTTCAATTTTTGGTTTGGATACAGGATTGACAAAAGTTCTCTCTTGATTTATTTGGCTGGATAAATTTTCTTCCATATTTATGTATCCAGGAGGCTTTGTAATTATATATTCTGGTTCCATGAAAGTGTTCATCTGTTTTAGAGGTACAACAGTTTTGGATTGAATACCAGAAACTGTAGCTACTTTTGTTAAATTCTGAAGAGCTACAGTCCTAGGCTGCATTTTAGAGACAGTCATAGCTCTGGGTTGAGTCTCAGAACTAGTAGTACTTCTGGGATAGGTCTCAGAGCTAGTAGCAGTTCTAGGCTGGGTCTCTAACCTAGCAGTAGTTCTAGGCTGGGTCTCCAACCTAGGGGTAGTTTTGGGCTGGGTCTCAGAGCTAGTAGTAGTTCTAGGTTGGGTCTCAGAACTAATAGTTGTTCTAGACTGGGTTTCTGAGCTAGCAGTAGTTCTGGGCTGGGTCTCTGAACTAGTAGTTGTTCGGGACTGGGTCTCTGAGCTAGCAGTAGTTCTGGGCTGGGTCTCTGAGCTAGTGGTAGTTCTGGGCTGGGTCTCTGAGCTAGTGGTAGTTCTGGGCTGGGTCTCTGAGTTAGTAGCAGTTCGAGGCTGGGTCTCTGAGCTAGTGGTAGTTCTGGGCTGGGTCTCTGAGTTAGTAGCAGTTCGAGGCTGGGTCTCTGAGCTAGTAGTTGTTCTGGGCTGGGTCTCTGAGCTAGTAGTAGTTCTGGGCTGGGTCTCAGAGCTAGTAGCAGTTCTGGGCTGGGTCTCAGAGCTAGTAGCAGTTCTGGGCTGGGTCTCGGAGCTAGTAGTAGTTCTGGGCTGGGTCTCAGAGCTAGTAGCAGTTCTGGGCTGGGTCTCAGAGCTAGTAGTATTTCTAGACTGGGTCTCAGAGCTAGTATAAGTTCTGGGTTGGGTCTGAGAAGTAGTTCTGGACTGGGTCTCAAAGCTAGTAGTAGTTTTGGGCTGGATCTCAGAGCTAGTAGCAGTTCTGGGCTGGGTCTCAGAGCTAGTAGCGGTTCTGGACTGGGACTCAGAGCTAGTAGTGGTTCTGGGCTGGGTCTCAGAGCTATTAGACATTCTGGGCTGGGTCTCAGAGCTAGTAGTAATAGTTCTGGGCTGGGTCTCAGAGCTAGTAGTAGTAATAGTTCTGGGCTGGGTCTCAGAGCTAGTAGTAAGTTCTGGGCTGAGTCTCAGAGCTAGTAGTAATAGTTCTGGGCTGGAACTCAGAGCTAGTAGTAATAGTTCTGGGCTGGAACTCAGAGCTAGTAGTAGTAATAGTTCTGGGCTGGGTCTCAGAGCTAGTAGTAATAGTTCTGGGCTGGGTCTCAGAGCTAGTAGTAGTAATAGTTCTGGGCTGGGTCTCAGAGCTAGTAGTAATAGTTCTGGGCTGAGTCTCAGAGCTAGTAGTAGTAATAGTTCTGGGCTGGGTCTCATAGCTAGTAGTAGTAATAGTTCTGGGCTGGGTCTCAGAGCTAGTAGTAATAGTTCTGGGCTGGGTCTCAGAGCTACTAGTAGTAATAGTTCTGGGCTGGGTCTCAGAGCTAGTAGTAATAGTTCTGAGCTGGGTCTCAGAGCTTAGTAGTAATAGTTCTGGGCTGGGTCTCATAGCTAGTAGTAGTAATAGTTCTGGGCTGGGTCTCATAGCTAGTAGTAGTAATAGTTCTGGGCTGGGTCTCAGAGCTAGTAGTAATAGTTCTGAGCTGGGTCTCAGAGCTAGTAGTAGTAATAGTTCTGGGCTGGGTCTCATAGCTAGTAGTAGTAATAGTTCTGGGCTGGGTCTCAGAGCTAGTAGTAATAGTTCTGGGCTGGGTCTCAGCTAGTAGTAGTAATAGTTCTGGGCTGGGTCTCAGAGCTAGTAGTAATAGTTCTGGGCTGGGTCTCAGAGCTAGTAGTAATAGTTCTGGGCTGGGTTTCAGAGCTAGTAGTAGTTCTGGGTTGGGTCTCAGAGCTAGTAGTTTTTCTGGGTTGGGTCTCAGAGCTAGTAGTAGTTCTGGGTTGGGTCTCAGAGCTAGTAGTAATAGTTCTGGGCTGGGTTTCAGTGCTAGTAGTAGTTCTGGGTTGGGTCTCAGAGCTAGTAGTTTTTCTGGGTTGGGTCTCAGAGCTAGTAGTAGTTCTGGGTTGGGTCTCAGAGCTAGTAGTAGTTCTGGGTTGGGTCTCAAAACTAGTAGTAGTTCTGGGTTGGGTCTCAGAACTAGTAGTAGTTCTCGGTTGGGTCTCAGAACTAGTAGTAGTTCTAGGCTGGGTCTTAGAAGTAGTTGTTGCAGACTGGGTAATGGATGCAGTGGTTTGAGCCTCAGTGACAGATACAGTAGTTGTTGGCAAGGTCACAGATGCATTGGTAGTTCTAGGTTGAGTCACAGATAAGGTAGTTTTAAGTTGGGTATCAGATACACTGGAAGCAATATTTCCAGGTTGAGTCACAGATGTGGTAGTTACAAGTTGGGTATCAGATGTTTTGGAAGCAGCAGTTCTGGGTTGAGTCACAGATGTGGTAGTTATAAATTGGTTATCACATGTATTGGAAGCAGTAGTTCTAGGTTGAGTCACTGATGTGGTACCTAGAAGTTGGTTATCAGATATAATGGAAGCAGTAGTTGTAGGTTGGGTCACAAAAGCAGCTGTAGTAGTTCTAAGCTGGGGAACAGGTGCACCAGTTCTAACATGTAAAATGGATGTAGTAAGAGTTTTTGGCTGGGGCACAGATGTAGTGGTTGTTCTTAACTGACTTAAAGAGGCAGTAGTTTTAGGCAAGGTAGTTCTGGCCTTTGTCACAGATGCAGTGATAGCTTGGGATTTTGTTAAAGTGGTAGTGGCAACTTGTGGTGGGGACACTGTTGGTGCACTTGTTTTGTGCTGCGTTACAGTGGCATTAACAGTTTTTGAGTGACTAACCACTGCTACGGTGCTTTTATGTTCATTTAAAGAAGTATCAGAAATACTGATATATGCTGAAGACATTGAAGCCATAGAAATCTTGGTGTCCTTCATAGAGGGCTGGGAAATAACAGAGCTCTGATGCTGGGACACAGAGGTTAAAGGATTGTCTTGCTGAGTATGTGAAACTAGTCCTTGAATTCCAAAAGCCACAGTATGACTTAAAGGAGCAGAACTTGGATGTGAAATTACATTGATGGCAGTTTTTTGTCTAGATAATGTTGGTATGATCTCTGATGAAACTATGGCAGCTGAAGAAACATCTTGTACAGCTGGTGAAACTGTACATAAAGCACTTTCAGTTTTCAATAGTGATGAAGTCTTGACTAATGCCACAGTTTTTGGATAAGTTTCTTTAGGTACATGAGTTATGGGTAGTATTACTGCAGTTGTTGAAATATGTGGCAACTGTAAATCCAATACTGTTTCTAAAGCTGTAGATTGGTTTTTGGAAGCTACAGATGAACTTGACTGTGTTACAAATCCTGAAGCTATTCCTGATTTGGGTACAGACAAAATTCCTGGTTGAGTTATGCTGGAGGGTGATGTGTCTGATTGGTTTACAGAATCTAATGTTTTAGGTTGAGCTGCAGATATTCCACTAGTTTTCAGTTTAATTGTATGAGATGCATACGTTTTTGGCCTGGATAAAAAGGTTGCATAAGATTTTGACTGGATTAAAGGTGTTGAAGAAAGTTTTGATTCTGACACATTTCCTAATTTATCTATAGGAGCTTTATAATTTCCAAGTGTGGTTAAATTATCTGCAGATGACTTTACTTCTAAGCCTAAAACAGAGGCTTCTGCATCTTTGTCTGTATTAATTTGAGAATTGGTAACAAGATAATCAGAGCTTTCAGCATCATGCATCAAGACTGGGTATTTGTCAACAGATTTTGAGTCTACAGTCCTTTTGGTTTGGAGCAACACATCCGTGGACTGCGCTACAGATTTTAATGAAATATTTTCTTCATTTAAAGCTAAGGACTGATATTCCTTTTCATTACCAGTCTGACAAGTATTCACCTTTTTCTCATTTATTTCCAATGGTAAATAATTCTTTAAATTTTCACATTTTTCAGCTGTAGATGATGATTTTGATGTGAAAATGCCCCCTCTATGAAGGTGCCTGTGTTCTCTGTTAACTGGTTTGTTTTCACAATGTACAGGACTAAAGTCTTTTATGGAAATGTACTTTTCTCTCAGTTTATCCCTTACAGAATCATCTGTAAATTCTTTTTCTGCATTTTCTTCTTTCACTCTTAACTCTTGACAGCTTACATCTTCTTTGACTACAATTCCTTCATTCATTGATATAATTACTTCTTCTTTTATAATTACTTCTTCTTTTATCATTTCTTCCTTCACTCCAAAGACTTTATTTAATATATCACCTCCCACCATATCAGCCATTAAATTCTTGTTACCTTCCATTTTTCTCTTTTCTCCCCTTTGGCCAACCTCTTTTTCTGCCTCTTTTATGTCCTTTGGTTCTTTGGTAGAGTGTAGCATGGGAGAAGCACTATTATATGAAACTTTCAATTCCTTCTCTTGAATATCATCTAAGAAATTAGAATCCCTCTCACATGGTTTCTGATGTAAAGGCAACTTCTTAAGTAGACTCTCTGCCTCTTTATCAGCAACAGACAAATATTTTACATCATGTGTGGCATTACTTTCAATCTTCTCTTCTGACTCTTCATCTATATCCATTTGTTCTGAAGTCATAATTTCTGATTCAATTTCCTCATTTTCATTATATGATTCACTATCTTTAGAACTCTGTTCTGGGGTCATGACTACAGAGAGTGATTCTAGTTCCTCCTTCCCACCCTCTGACTCAGAGGGAGTGCCACTTCTACTCCAATCCTCTTCAAATAAGCCAAGTTTTGTTGCTTCTTTGTGCACATCTTCCTCTGACTGAGATTCCCAACTGGATTTTATTGCAGGTAAAAAATCAAGTGATGGCTTTAACAAGCACTCTAAAGCTCCATCCATATCTTCTGAACTGAGGATATTTCCTTCTGGTAGGCCTACACGAGTTGGGGTTGCTACTTGATTTTTTGTCAACTTATTCACTGGTGTTTCTTCTTTTGAGCTTTTTAAACCACCACAATAATGATGTTCAAGACTATCTGATATATCAGCTACAGAAGCCTGAGTATCCATAGGAAATTGGGGCACATTTCTAATATTCAAAAAATTTGAAGCAACACCTATTTTCACATCATCACCTATAAAACTGGATGAAGGTTTAAAGCTTTCTTTTTCCCTCTGAGATGCTGGGCTAACACTAATTTTCACACCCCATTTGGGAATTTCATTCAGAGTAACTTCACACTGGCTTTCACTTTGTTCACTTTTCACAGAATCACTATAACTTTCAAAACTACCATTATCAGTATATTTTTCAGCCATTTTTGATACGGAGTCATCCACCACAAATCTCTGCACAGTTTTTTGGTTTTTTCTTTTGTTTTTTATTTCTTGTCCTTTAATGACTATTTCTTTCAAAACCTCTTCCTGATCCTCTTCAAACTGATCTTCATTTTCCTCTTCCATTTCATCTGACTCATTGTCACTTGTCTCAAGGCTCTGATTTCTGTCGGAGTCTCCCGAACTGCTTCTTTGGTCTCTTACATGCGTCCCAGATTCTATGTTGACTAATACAGCCTTGGGCTCAAAGTTGCAGATAATGTGTGTTGCCACATGAGCTAAACTTGCAGCTCTTGTTATGAACATCTTCTGACACACATTACACATCCAACGCACCCCCTCTTTGGACCTCCACCCCTATGGAAAAAAAGAGAAAAGGGTGCTTCTAGTTTGTTGTTTGCCATACACAGGCAAAATAATTTCTTTATATATTTAATAATAAATATTTTTTTGTCTTTGAAGTCAAGACATATCTATAAAATGGCCTAGCATCCTCAACTGAGCATATGTAATACACAGCAAACTGCTGATGGCTTGAGAGTTACCAGCAGAAGGAACACAGTTGTCCTTAAAAAATGAAAATAAAGCACAAAGTATTAGAAAGAAAAGTTTGATAAATGAATCCAACTGATAATTTATGTTGATTTGAATGAGATGAAACATTGTACTAATCTTTATTTTTACTTATTTACTTTGACAGCAAATAGGAATATGCACCCTTTTCTCTTCTTTTCCAAGAGGTAATATTCAGCGGCCGTGTTAAGGACCATCTGAAGGTAACTCCGCACACCCACCGCAGTACACTTAATAACCATCTAATGAAAAAGTAATCTACTAGTCTACAAATTATCATCATATTAAAACTTACTTTACTTCTAGTACATAAATTTTAACTACACAATGTCTCTATAAGCTAATAAGATCTACAGCACATATATTTTATAGCTAATATGACAATTCACAGTGCATTATACGTAAATTATATAATAATGTACAGTACTACAAAATGGGAAGAAACCACATGATTCAAGATACTCAAGCCTGCAGATTAACTTGTCTGATTTAATTACTTACTGTACCTGTGAACATTATTTCCTATTAGTAATGACAAATACAACAATTTTTTTTATGAATTTAAATCTTAAAAATTAACTTTTGACAGACAGGTCTTTCTTCACAGAAGCATACAAAGCAAAGTTTAATTTATAAAAAGCAAAGTTTAATTTGCTATTAAAAAATGCATGCAAAGCCACACTGTGATTGCATAACACAACATCTAACACAATCCAAATTACGGAATATTTCATTGATACAATTAAGGTAACTGGTTTTATATTGATTGTCATTAGAGAAATGTACTCCAGCAAATATAATGGCATTTTGAAAATGTTCTTTGATTTGTTATTTGATCTTTGGACTGCACTTTAGACATTGCAGTGGTACAACCTTTAACTAGACATTCTTCATGTGAATATGATAATAAAAATTCTCATGAATAGAGCCACTACCAATATACAGTATATACACACTAGCACTGCACATATAATATATGACTAATTAAAAGAATAAAACATGTTAAGAGCTGGATGGCAATGTCCTTATCAGCAAATTTCTCATGAGGAACATTCTGATTATGGATGAATTTATAATCCTAATCTATGGCAGCTTTAGCAAGTATTAATTAGCCTTTATCATCTTCATATCTCTATGAAAGAAAGGAGAATATCCCTGGCCAACTGATTCCTACCTTTAGGAGCTGCAAGATATCTCTCCCTCTCTTGGCCATTTGGCTTTTACATCTCTGTACTGAAAGACACCCCTCTGCACCCCTGTGCAAGTGTGAAAAACATACCCCAGCCACTACCTTGGTTCCTTCATTATAAAGATGTATCATCCTGAATGACATCCCAGTTCTTACACATTGAAGTTTATATCAAAAGAAAGATGGGTCAAACCTATTCCTTTTCATAATTAGCAATAAACTGTTTGTACCTTTAAATCCTTAGCTGATCTATACAACTTTAAAAGTCGTAACACACTACAACTATGTCAAACAAAAACATCTTACTGTACACTAACTTTTAATATTACAAATCCTGCATGGCATCTAGTACAACCAATGATAAAAAGTTCCTTGAGAACATTTACATCTATCCCAGTTTGTGTTTGTGTCATTCATAGACAAACAAGCAGGTACTTAAGAGAGACAGACAGATAGGGGGGGAAAATGCACACACACACATGTATGCGCAATTGTGCATTAATCTATAGTGTACTGGATCTGTAAATATTAAAAATAGTTTGTGTGTGTGTGTGTGTGTGTGTGTGTGTGTATATACAGGGTAGTGTAGTGCTCTAGTGTGAAAGCATTATGTTTGTGTTAAGGTGCAAGCACTGCTTGCTTCCTCTCGCTTTCAGCTACTGCCACTGGCTAGCCCTTGTGATGAACAGAGAAGCAACTTGCAAAAGTCCTCCCCTACCAGTACACAGACTCTTCACCATCAAGACTCCTGCTGTGCCTTCTCATGGCAACACATGGTAACTGGGTGCCTCATGGGCCCAGGCTAGACCAGCAAGGGATCTCGGAACAGCAATGGGCCCCAGAGGGATGGCGCATAGGCCCACTGGCATGGAGACACGTCCTGGCGCCTACCAACCACTGCCCTGCTGCCTTGTGGAGTAACCTTGGTAGGTATAAGACTATGGGAGTAAACCCCGAATGAAAAATCTGCGGTAGAGCCCTGCATCAGGCAGACAGGCTTACAGAGCTCCAACAAGCTCCCAATGGCAGTACAGTATAGGTGTAAGAGGTGACCACCATCGGAACCCAACGACTACACCGGCATATAAAGGCAATGCATGATGGACAGGCTACTAAAGCAAAACCCAACAAACTGGGCTATTGGCAGTCCATTGCAACCCCCCCTCTTCCCAGTCATTGCACCACTGGATCAGGAAAAGGGAAAGCAAAGGTGTGTGGTTGCAGCCTGCACTCCTGCCTCACCACATAAATCAACTGCAGCCACCATCCAGATAATCATACTTCTCATCATCATCAAAACCCCTATACCCCCAAAAGTCCCATGAAAAAGGACAAGTGGCGATGGGAACAGACAGAGATGACTGCCGGAAGTCACAACTCTGCACATGGACGGCACAGATAAGATGGTGTATGCACTGGAATCTAGGCGGCAGTGCAATCCGGTCCTGTCTGTGCGACTGAGCAGCCCTTTCGAGGAGCCACTCTGCTCATCCCACACAGGTGGGGGGTCTAGAAAAGGTGCCCCAAACATAGCCTGCCTAAAGAACCAATCTGACTGGGCAACCGCACCCAGTAAGGTCATCCTTATGTGGTCAAAAACACAATCATAATCACAGATCAAAACAAAAACAAACTATACAATCTCTTATGGTCACTGCATGGAATGTCAAAACTCTTCTGGATACTGGCATAAATGAGCATCCTGAAAGAAGAACCACCCTTGTGGCAAAAGAGCTGGCTAGGTATAACATCGACATAGCAGCCATTAGTGAGTCCCAGCTTGCAGACGAGGGTTGACTCACAGAACCGAAGTCTGGCTATACAATACCTTCTTCTGGAAGGGTAAGCCTGTTGTGGAGAGAAACCGCATTTAGCCAATAGGCTAACTGAAATGCCTATTGGGATCAACGAGCACCTCTTGACTCTCTGAGTACCACTGAATCACTCACGTCATGCCTTCTTCATCAGTGCATATGCTCCAACACTGGATGCAGTGGATGACATCAAGGAGGCCTTTTATGCCGACCTCGACAGAGTGCTAACCTCTATCCCAAGAAAAGTTACGGTTCTGCCCCTAGGTGACTTCAATGCCAGAATTTGCAGAGATGCTGATATTTGGTAGGGAGAAATGGACTAGGCAAGAGTAATCCCAACGGCCTACTCCTCCCCAGCAAGTGTGCTGCACCCAACCTCACTATCACCAATACCTTGTTTAGGCAAGCCGACAGTTCAAGGGTTCGTGGCAACACCCACAATCCAAACACTGGCATCTCATTGACTACATCACTGTTAGAGAAAGAGATCGCCAAGATCACTGTTAGAGAAAGAGATCGCCAAGAGTCCTCATCACCTGAGCCATACGTGGCTCAAACCACTGCAACATTGATCATCGGCTCATCAGAGCCAAGCCACTTCACGTCGCCCCAAAATGGCAAAAGCAACCAGCCTCCAAAAGAGGTTTTAACTTTGAGCATTTGGAGGATCCAGTGGGAGCACAAGCTTTCAGAGAGCAGCTCCAACATGGGCTGATAAGGAATCACACAACAAACAACCCAAACCCCAGTGCCGAATAGGGTATTCTCGACACTGTCATGACAAAAACCTGAAGAGAGACCCTCAGCCAGATCGAAAGAACACACCAGGACTGGTTTGATGAAAATTACTTTCGCAAGAAGAAAGAGGCAGCCCAGCGCGAACTTTGCAAACTAAAGAACGACTGGTTTAAAAATATAGCAAGTGAAATGCAAAAACTTGCAGATCAACACAAGACGTGTGAATTTTTCAATTCCACTTAAACATTTTATGGGCCAATCACTCATGGTGCAGCCCCCTTCCACTCATCCGATGGTAACTCCCTAATTGAAGACGAAGAAGGCATCCTTTAGCGCTGGAAAGAGCACTACCATTTGCTGCTAAACTGAAACACCAATGTGGATGTCCTAACTACCCAGCAGGTCCCTCAGCATCCAGAGCTGACTCACCTCAGCCATCCTCCATCTCTGGATGAGGTAGCTACTGCCAACAAATATGAATAACAAAGCCTCAGAGCCTGATGGAATTCCAGCCAAGGTGTATAAAGCAGGAAGGTAAAACAAGGATGTGTACTGGCACCAACTCTCGTTTCCATTTTCTTGGCTGCCTTCCTTATTCGTGCCAGTGCCAATTTGGCCGGCAGGGTCTTTTCTACATAAGACGACTCCAGGCAGGAACAAAGGTGTCAGCAGCTTCCATTACTGAACTTCAGTATGCAGACGACACCTCACCTTTGTCGCTCACACTAACGTGACCTACAGGAGATCTGAACACCTACGCAGATGCGTATGCAGACTTCGGTCTTGAAGTGAACGTACTTAAGACTAAGATTATCTTTCAGCCTGCCCCTGGTTCAGCCACACCTCCACCATCCATCCAGCTTAACGGTAGGACCCTCTATATTGTTACCCACTTTCAATATCTTAGTTCCCACCGTGGACATCGATGATGAGGTTCAGCACCAACTGTAGGAGCTTCGAGGCTACTATTATCCATGAACAAATACGTTTGACTGGCCATGTTACCCGCATGGACAACAGTAGACTGCCGAAGCAGCTACTTTACAGTCACCTAACGAATAGTAAATGTAATGCTGGCGGGCAACTGAATTGGTATAAGGATAGTCTTAAGACAACCTGAAAAGTGCCAAATCGATCCCCCCACCTGGGAGACGATCACTCCACACCGTAACAATCGGAGGAGCACCACACGAGAAAGTGTCAATACTTTCGAGTTAGCCTGACTGCATACCGAGGCAGACAAGTGCTAACGCCGGAAGGACGATACTGGTGCTCCTACCGCAATAGATTTAGCCTTCCACACGTGCAACATTTTTGGATGACTCTGCCAGTCCCATATTGGCCTCTCTAGTCATCTCAGAGCTTACCAACAAAGGTGACATCCTTAATAACTCGAATCTTTTTATCACAGCTGGATGATTGTCATACTCGCTTCCGAGTGACAGCAAAGTACAGCTGCTCCCCGACTTACGACGGGGTTAGGGACCGACATCCAGGTCGTAAGTAGAAATGGTCGTAAGTCGGAAATGCTTAAATAATACATAGAAAATCTAAAATGGGTGTCTCTTTTTCTTCTCAGCACCACAAAACACTCACTTTTAAGCTTGCCAGCCATCTTAAAGTGAATTACAGATGAAAATTTTGTCTGTGTACCGACTTTGGGACTCAAAAATACGTAATTTGACCAAATTTTGGTACGACTGAGGCAAGTCGTAAGTGCGGGTGGACGTAAGTCGAGTAGGTCGTAAGTCGGGGAGGAGCTGTAGTAGTACTGTAGTAGTATGTATTTATTATGTATATCCACAGATTTGTAGATCGAGCTGTAATTTTGTAGGGAGGTGCAGGTAGCCAAAGGAATAGTCGTGCACTATCTCCTGTCCCTCCACAAGGGGTAGGTCGGTTCAGTTTTGAAGATGGAATGCTGAAATTTGGTAGGGAGGTGTGGATTGACTAGGGGTGGGTTGGTCCTGCAGGGGCCAACCACAATCCCCCACCCATGGGTTGGATGCATTTCTACAGTTTTGAAGACAAAGAACTGAAATTTGGTCAGGTGAGAATGCTTTGGGGGATGGTCAGGTCATGCACTCTCTCCCATCCCTCCACCCAGGTAACTGAATTCTAATATGTTTTATATTTGTACTCAAACACACTAATTAATGGTGGTGTCACAAAAACAATTAAAAGCTCCCTATCTATTGTTTACAAGCACTACTAGTCATCTACAGCACAAAGAAGTTCCTCACCTTCAGAATAGATTTAGTAGGTGTACATTTTCTTGGGCTTGCAATGAATGTACTCTTAAGTGGACTTGCAACATCTTTTTTAGTAAGCTGAAAAACAAATTAAACCATAAATAACACATTTCTATAGTTACTTCCTAATTTAAATATCTTTATATACTTTTCACTTCCAAAACAGAAACAACCTCACACTCTCACTATAGAGTATAAATGCTCTATGGATGAGGGCTGATTACGAAAGAGGACCAACCAGAAGTAGGAACAAATGTTAACTACAGAAATGGCCACAATTGATAGCAAATATAAGTACTGTAGAAGTAAACTGAGTAAACTCTTAATATTATTGTTTTGTCATACCATGCTTATTATTATCAGAAATGAGGTTTCATCATCCACCATGACCTCACAAACTGTTTCTAAAATTTTATTACATTCATCCCAGGCCATTTCTATATACAGTGATCCCTCGGTTAACGAGATTTCGGTTATCGATTTACCTTCCATAAGATTCTTAACTTCGGTTAATGAGCAATCCCTCGATTAACGAGTTTTTTACAAGCCGACCTCAACATGTTTTCGCTTGCATTTGGCGGTCCACCAGCTGTACTATTAGTCCGTCAATACAGTTATCGGTTTTAGGACTTAAATTCCTTACTATTTTAGTAAATATCAAGAAGTTTATACTATTCAATAATTTTAAAAGTTTAATACAGTGGTCCCTCGGTTAACAAGCACAATCCGTTCCAGCATGTTGCTCGTTAACCGAAAAACTCGTTAACCGAAACTGAATCTACCAGCTTGCTTGGAAACGCAGTTGTTTTCAAATTCCTCCACCTTGTTTGTGTGTTAACAGGCTGGATGGCGCGCCAGAAACTAGTTTCTTTACTTTCAATTATGTTCAATAATTGTTAAAATTACTAAAAAATATTAATATTAAACTTTTAAAATTATAGAATAGTATAAACTTCTTGATATTTACTAAAATAGTAAGGAATTTAAGCCCTAAAACTGATTACTGTATTGGCGGACTAATACTACAGCTGGTGGACCGCCAAATGCAAGCGAAAACATGTTGAGGTCGGCTTGTAAAAAACTAGTTAATCGAGGGATTGCTCGTTAACCGAAGTTAAGAATTGTATGGAAGGTAACTCGTTAACCAAGGGATCACTGTATTACATTTTTTTAGTAATTTTATCAATTATTGAACATAGTTGAAGGTAAAGAAACTAGTTTCTGGCGCGCCATCCAGCCTGTTAACACACAAACAGGCGTTAGTCTCTCTCTTTCTCTCTTTTCAGTGGAGGTAACATATTGCTTGAGACTCTCTTCAACTAAACTGCTTTTTTTCTGTGTTTCCAAGGAAATTATTGGTCATTTTGAAATTTATTTTACATATTGACAATATATAATGCAGTGCAGTGTTGATTTAAAGAAAATAATCTTGAATTAGACCAAGAGAACTAAAATTTTATGGGTGAAATAGCACCATGGGGTGACTTCTCTTCCACCCCAATGCCTTCTCTTCTCCCTTCTCCTCCACCCCCATTTTAATTCCCATCATCACCATCATCATCCAGGAGCCTTCTACATACACACCTCAAAGTAAGTGTACTTTTCTATCTTTTTTGTTGAATTTAGGCAATTTTCGGTGAGCTGGAACCAATTACCCAAAAACCCATTGAAACAATGGTTTTGGTTAACGAGCAACCTGCTGGAACGGATTGAGCTCGTTAACCGAAGGACCACTGTACAGTATTGTATAAGTAAGCAATGGTTTACTGACATAGTACATTATTTTTATGACATATAAGTGAAATGCTTATATACAAGGCCTGTTTACACAAGAGGTCACAAGAGGGTGGGGGAGGTATTGATGGGGAGAGAACTAGGGGTGGCAGACCCAGGTAAAGTAGTAGGGCACAAGTCAAGGAACACATACATCGTGAGAGTGTATGTGGTCTTAGAAATATCTTTACACATGATGAAGGTGTTAAAGTTGATGGATGTAGCTTGATGTTGACGGCCTTAATGATCCTGACAGTTAATAGGCCTAAGACCAACCAAGCAACAATGAGGACAGATGTCCAGGGAGGTGTCATAAGGACTGACTTTTCCCTTAGTTATCTATGCCTTTACTTTAGATTCTGGGGAGGAATGCGAGTGAGCTTTTGGCAGGTCATATGTCATTAGGACTGATAAGGCGTTTGGCTTCAGTGAGGGGTAGTGGCTTACTCACCACCAATATTACTAAATTACGTGATCACTTCTACCTTTTGCCAGCACCATTCTTGGAAAAATACAAAATAAATAAAATTGTTACTTGATCACTTCTGCCTCTCACCACTATCGTTCTTGGGGAAAAAAATAAAAATAAAATAATAATTAAAAAGTTAAGTATGAATTGTTGGATAGAAGTGACTTGTCCACCCTGTAATATGTTTATTAGAGTTATGAAAATCAATGAGAGGTGATGAGGTGGTAGTGATAATGGTGTTGGCCAACTAGCCCAGGATGGAGACTAAAGAACGTCAATTGATGAGTCGCTGGCAAATAATTGGTTAGCACGTGACTGGCTACAACGTGACAGAAATTGCAACGGAGGTTGGGGTCACTGTGAGACGTTGATTAATCTGCTGGGATGAGTCTGGTAAGCTGGGAAACCTGCCACAGTGTGTAATATAAACAAAATACATTTGAATTCTTGATTCATATACAGTGCAGTAAATAAGTAATATCTCCGTTAGCCGGAATCCCTCAAACCCGGAACTCTCTGATAACCGGAATTTTCTGGCTTTGGGAACGATGTTCTGAAGGGCACATTTTCTGGAAAATTACGATAAAATATTTCTGGTACCCAGAAAATTCCGGGGATGGGGGAGTTTTTTCCGGGTTTTAAAAATGAAAATCAGGCGCATTTTCTGGAAATTCCGAGAAAATTTTTCCGTTACCCGAAAAATTCCTAGGATGAGGGATTTTTTTCCGGGTTCGAGAGATGAAGTAATGGGCAATTTCTGGAACTTTCAAGAAAAATTGTCCGTTACCCGGAAAATTCCGGGGACGAGGGATATTTTTCCAGGTTTTAGAGATGACATAATGGGCAATTTCTGGAAATTACGAGAACATTTTCCCGTTATCCGGAAGATTCCTGGGAAGAGGGATTTTTTTTTTCGGCTTTGAAAGAGTCGTCGCGTTACTCGGAAATTTCTCATTCCCGGAAGTGCTCCGCATCAATTGTTCCGGCTAACGGGGATATCACTGTATATAAGCTTAGGCCGGGTAGACCATGACTGACAAGCGAGGAGGGCATTGGAAAAGGCTATTGAAATTCTGTATGACCGGTTGATAAATATTAAATATAAATAAGATTTCCAACCACAGATTCAGTATTTCTCCCCATATATGTTATTTTAGATATCTAATTACAGTTGTTTAAAACCTGAACAACCTGAGAAAATGATAAATAAAGAAATGGATTACAATAATCATTAAATACGGGTCCTCCTCTATTATTCTTTCATGTATGTAAACATAAGATAATATAGTGAAAAAATTACAACCATCCTTCCCTTCCTTCTTTCATTAATTTCCCAGCTTTCTTCAACCCCCTCCCTCTCTGAAGAGGAACTTGCATCGCATACCACCCTCCTACACCTCTTCCCCCACCCCCTTAAACAAACGGCCTCCCCCAAGTACACCATTCCCACTCTCCACCCCACGTGACTTACTGTGCAGAGGGGACTCAGCCAAGCGCAGGGGTTAGGTGGTGGAGTGAATGACGTTTTTTACCCCGACTGTACATACATAAATATGTATTTAAAGACTAATCCCACTACTGGGCCCAGATTCACTAACACTGCTGAGATACGAAGTTCATAACTGCCGGGAGATCTGCAGTCCATACAGCTACCGTAACTTAGCTGTGGTTTTCGTACGAGCTCTAGCATTAGATCGTAGAATGCCGACAGGTGTTTATGTTTTATATCCTCTCGGCTAATCATTGCAACTGATACATATCTGAGTAGGGAACGTAAGCCAATCATGTCACAGCATGCTAAGTTCATGCTTGCCTTTATGTCTCATGAGTTAAGGGCATAGAAGCCTGAAGGGTTTTGTCATCAAGTTAATGGAAGCTCCAACAACTTGTTCCTGAATACGAATTCGCAATTTTCAATTTACACCAGGTACCTACTTTACTGCTAGGTGAACAGGGACCAATTGGGGCAAGGAAGTATGTCCAAACAACTTTTCCACCGGCCCGGTAATCGAACCCGTGACATCTCGCTTGCGAGGCAAGAGTGGTAACGCTTCTACCACCGGCGCCCCCCACCAACACATTCAACACCAAAAACAAGAATATTTATTTTACTTACTATATTTTCCTGTGTTCCTAATTATAGTTTTATAGAGGCTATAAAACAATAAAGTGTAAAATTTAACTTTTTTTTTTTTTACGGGGCTTAGCCCACCCGAACACAGGTCACTGACCCACATCGGGGCCTGGGGGGCGAAAATGTAATTGTAATAGTAATAGTAATAGTAATAGTAATAGTAATAATAATAATAATAATAATAATAATAATAATAATAATAAATAATAGTCATAATAATTCATAATAAATAAAATTTATGATAAAACAAACAAAAATAAAATAATAAAATAATGATGATAATAATACAGAAACTGTAATAATAATAATAATAATTTCAATAAAAAAAAATATAAATACAAAAATGAAAAAAAGATCAAAAGTGAGAAACGATATACAGTGACCCCTCGGTTAACGAACTCAATCCGTTCCAGAAGGTCGTTCGTTAACCGAAACCATTGTTTCAATGGGTTTTTGGGTAATTGGTTCCAGCTCACCGAAAATTTCCTAAATTCAACAAAAATGGTAGAAAAGTTCACTTACTTTGAGGTGTGTATGTAAAAGGCTCCTGGATGATGATGATGATGATGATGGGATTTAGAATGGGGGTGGAGGAGAAGGAAGAAGAGAAGGCATTGGGGTGGAAGAGAAGTCACCCCATGGTGCCATTTCACCCATAAAATTTTAGCTCTCTTGGTGTAATTCAAGATTATTTTCTTTAAATCAACACTGTACTGCATTATATAGTGTCAATATGTAAAATAAATTTCAAAATGACCAATAAATTGCTTGGAAACACAGAAAAAAAGCGTTAGTTGAAGAGAGTCTCAAGCAAGATGTTACCTCTGCTGAAAACAGAGAGAGACTAACGCCTGTTTGCTGTGTTAAGAGGCTGGATGCCGCACATTAAACTAGTCACTTTACCTTCAATTATGTTCAATAATTGTTAAAAGGACTAAAAAATTGAATATTAAACTTTTAAAATTATTGAATAGTATAAACTTCTTGATATTTACTAAAATAGTAAGGAATTTAAGCCCTAAAACCGATTAATGTATTGGCGGACTGATACTAAAGCTGGTTGCCCGGTCAGTGCAAGTGAAAACACGTTGAGGTCGGTTCGTAAGAAATTCGTTAACCGAATTTTTGTTCGTTAACCGAATTGAAGATCCTTATGGAAGGCAGTTCGTTAACCGAGGCGTTCGTTAAATGAGGGGTCACTGTATGTATGTTTGTTGTCAATGGTAAGAGAAACAATTGAGACCCTGCAATTGTGTGTAAATGAAGCAGAAAGGTAGATCAGCAACCTGGGTCTTGGTCACAATTTTTGTGATGCCATGTGGCAGCAGGGTCTACCATTAGACAACACATTATGCTTCCAATATCTTCCCAGGCAGTAGTACCTCCCTGTTTGGTAGCTGCCTACTACCTACTGCCTTTATTTCTTAGTAAATTTTTAATGTGAAATGTTTAAAAGGTAACATACATCTTCTTCTGAAGATAGTAGGTATTGCAGCCTCTTAGTAAAAATCTTAAAAAGAAATTCCTCGGTATGTGAGCCACATATGACTCATTTATGTGCCAACAGTGATCTACGTAGGAGCTTTGGTAAATGTGAATTTGGACATTCTTATCTGATTTTACAATTTAGTTACCTTACCCAACCTCAGCTAAGACTATTGTAGTGTAATTATATTGATAGATGTCTTCCACGCATTTATAATAAGTACTCAATTAGATAGTCGTCGCATAGCAACATGTTCAAATCAGACTATTAATGGAACGTCAGCGCCTCCGCACAACACAGAAAACCACAATGCACAGGACAAACAATTAAGTTCTTCAGAATATATATATATATATATATATATATATATATATATATATATATATATATATATATATATATATATATATATATATATATATATATATATATATATATATATATATATATATATATATATATATATATATATATATATATATATATATATATATATATATATATATATATATATATATATATATTAGTGTAGGATTATTTTGGTCACAGATCAACCATTGCCCTCCAGTATTACCCAATCATTAATTCCATCTTTACTGGTGACGCTTGAAGTACATCTGGCAGCTGTGTGTTTTGCTACGGATTTTATAGCAAAGAAAATGGCCTTATTTCTGCCTTGCAGAAGCTTACGATACTTCCAGAGTCACCATAAGTTACAAAGAAAAGTCAGTCATTTTAAAACAAGTGAAACACCACTGCAGGAGATATGAACTCCTTCAGCACTTACAATGTTCGCAACCAGTTAGTGAATCTCGGCCCCGGAAAAGAACCTTCATACATACACACACACAAAAAAAAAAACGTTATGATGGTAAATTAATGCCCTAAAGAGAATACATTATTTAATTCTGGGAAAAGGGAAAAAAGAGGAACAGATATCCAGGAAGCAACTGTAAGAGTAAGTCATTGTGTGGTTTTAGGGAATTAAACTGTTGCTGACAATTGTGTTAGGTTGTTTTAAATCACAGAGATATACAGTAACATCCTGGTTTATGTCCCCCCCCTTTTGTCATTTAGTAAATAGACATTACTTAAGTAGTTACACCACTATCTGATTTAGGTGGCATCTAGCCCCCTACCAACACACACACACGTGCACACATTCACATTTCATTCATTGTCATTAACTAACAAGAGTAAGTAACATACTTGAGCATGTGTTCTAGCTTCAACTTCTACATCAACCTCTTCTTCATCCTCCACTTCCTGATCCTCCTCTTGAAAATTTTCCTTCTTCACTTTATCAGTGGTCATCTCATGGTATTCCCCATGGATATCTTCACTATGGTACACCATTTTCTTGAAAGCATTCTTCTTTATTACTTTGCGCAACCGTTCAGTCTGATTTTTTGATTTCTTATGATCTGAAAAGTTATTTACAAAATTATAGCATCTGGTAAGTTAAAAAACAGATTTAATAATAATTAGGATAGGAAACTGTAAATTTCTTCCAAGTGTACTGCCTCTGTTGATGGAGTAATATTGACATTGAAACAGTTTATTTAGCAAGAAAAATACAGATACAGTGGACAATAATAACAATATTTGACATGGCTGAGCCAATTGAGAACTTGAGCCCTCTCAGCTACTAAAGTAGATGCAAGAATAAAAACAGAGTAAAGGAAATTATTTTAGTAAAATATTAAAAGGGAAGGAAGTTGTGTTATGCATATGACCAGAACTACAATATACTTTAGATAAACTTGACTGTGTAGGAATGAGGCAAATGAGGACGGAATCCTGATAAAATCTAACATGTACTGTACAGTAACAGTGTTAGATATAAATGGAAGGTGAGCAGTATGATGTTTTATGTATCCAAGGAGTATTGAAAAAACGACGAAGCAATGAACTACAATCATGGAGAATATGTTGAAATGACAATAAGTAGTACAGGGGGCTACTCAAAAAAAGTAGTCGAGTTTTAATGTGACTTTAGAAATGTGTCAGAGTTTATTGAAAGGTACAGCTAAACCTATGAAAATCTACAATAAATATATAGAACAGTGGAAGAAGAATTTCAAGAGATCATGTAAGTGGCAGCACAGTACATACATATACTAAGTTTGCTTACAGAATAATGTATCATATTGCACTTACATTTTTGTAAATGTTTAACAACAGCCCACATACTGAGGAAAGTTGTCTTGCAAATGGGACAGCAATATATGCATCGTTCAAACCCATGATGTGAGCGTTGATGAACACTTAAGGTCTTCTGAGTTGCAAATCTTGTATTGCCTGTAAAAAAAGATAAAAAAAAACTTATATATATATATATATATATATATATATATATATATATATATATATATATATATATATATATATATATATATATATATATATATATATATATATATATATATATATATATATATATATATATATATATAGAGATACAATCAACACTCTCAACTCCACCAGGATTCGAACTCCATCGCCCACTTGTTTCTCCATGATCAGTACCAGGTTGAGGTGTTGATTGTATGTAGAAGTCTTCATGCGGTTTATTGGGCTAATGAAAAAAAAAAAAAAATATATATATATATATATATATATATATAAACTGTAATTTTTCAACTAGAATTAAGTATATGGTTTATAATGGCACTAATATTCAAAGAAAAAATTAAATAAAATAAATTTTTATTTTTAGCAAGATGTAAATTTTTTTTATCAAAATGACTTCAATATAAGATACTAAAACTGGGGATAATTATATGCACAATAATTAACAGTTAATGAAAAACACAGCAGCCATAAGCTGAAAATATAAAAGATACGTAAATCGTACAGTATATTTGTGTAACATATGGTGACATGGGGAGAGGGTCATTTACTGAGGGTAACAAGGAATTTCAGTACAGTATTGTACAGTTACTTGTACTGTACAAAAGGGAGATTGGCAAAGGAGCGAACACACAAGTTATCAATGAGTTATTTATATTTTTACAATGGTTAGAATGGGTCTGTTCTTGTTGCAATAAGTACAAGGTCATACAGGCTGCATAATTTATACATTAGTGTACTGTATATTCAGTATATGTGTGTGTGTGTGTGTGTTGATAGAAAATCATGTACATGTATATACTGAATTCAATGACAAATTTTATTTCAATCTTCTGGCTTGATTTCATTTTGACAAAAAATATATTTTTATTATTCTAATACACTTCTGTCTTAAAAATTCTATAGACTAATAGGAAAAAAGTGGTAAATTATTTTAAAGGGATACCCCAAAACAAATTTAAAAGGTTGCAAAATTTTCAGCCATCTGTTGATGAAAAAAATTTTATATCATGGAGTTAGATATGAATATTTACATTGCATATTATGCTTCCATGGTGAACATAAGTAACTGAATTACAGTGCTATTAATAGAATTAACTACTGCATTGACAACAAGTGACATTTAACTCATGAGCAGTGTCTTTCTACACTTATGTTTATCAAAGTTACTCACTGATGACAGCTCAGGGATGTTTGGTGCTTTTTTCAAGGTAAATTTATTGGTAATTAAATCCTTAAGCCTAGACATTCTTGGAAGATAGGTTAAATTCCTCATCTATTTGTGACAGTAAGAAAAATTCTAAGACGCACTTATTAAGAATTGTATTTCCAAAATGCTACAAAGAAAGTTAATTAATGCTCAAGGAATAGGTAAGGTTGTGATATGGGCCTCGCCTCTGATCTTCATTCTCCCTTGTAGGGACCATGAGGTACTGGTGCTGCACTTCCACTTTTCCAACAATAATGATGAATCTATGAAAAGATTCTGTACACTTCTCTCATCCCCTTATCAGGTGTTACATGAATATATCTAGTTAAAATAAACTCTTGTAATTTCAAAGTTACTTTTGGATGACAGTGTTGTGATTTAGTACAAGTCAACCATTTAGGGATACAGTAATATCTCCGATAGGCGGAATCCCTCAAACCCGGAACTCCCCAATAGCCGGAATTTAAATTTTCTCGGAAAATCGTCCCCAATGCCGAAATTTTCCAGAAAATTTTCCCGATACCCGGAAAATTCTGGGGGCGTTTTTTCCGTGTTTGAGAGATGAAAATCAGAAGTATTTTATGGAAATTCCAAGAAAAAAATTCCGTTATCCGGAAAATTTGGGGGATGAGGGTTATTTTTATGGGTTCGAGAAATTATGTAATGAGCAATTCCTGGAACTTCCGAGAAGATTTTTCCATTACCCAGAAAATTCCGGGGACGAGGGATTTTTCCGGCTTCGAGTCGTCTCATTACCCGGAAATTTATCATTCCCGGAAGTGCTCTGCACCAATTGTTCCAGGTAACAGGTATATGAGTATTCTTACATCCAACATTACAATACTGTACAGTACAGTACTAGGAAAATTCATTGTATAACTGAGAATTTGTCCCCAGGTTAAAAAGTGATGTGTTCCCAAGCCTACCAGAATCAGCCCTTAGATCCATCTGCACCTCATGACTTATGCATACAGCTTTTTCAGCCACTAGACCATTAACCAACTTGATTGTATATAATAATTTTTATTTTAGGGGGTGCTGCACACCTCCCTCTGGTCTAAATGTGACTCTTAAAGACCCTGCCCAGACCATCAACCCCCAGTGGCAACCCTTTTTCCAGCCCACTAACACAAAATACCCTGCCCTGTCATGCTCACTAACCTGCCATGCCCTGTTCACCACCCTTCACTGCCCATAATGTTTGGCCAGTTTTGTTTACACAATTTATTTTTGTGTAGATATGCTGGAAGCCATTTTTAAATTTTACTCCTTTAATTCAAATCAGCAGCTAATTTGACTCATCCTGAACCCAAGATAATTCAAATTACTAAGATTTTATTGTGTGTATAACAAAGCAATTCAATCTATCACTGCTTTTAGGTACTCTTCCTGTTAAGCATTACTCAATTTATTTTATTCAATGATTAGTCTGTACTAACGAGAGAGAGAGAGAGAGAGAGAGAGAGAGAGAGAGAGAGAGAGAGAGAGAGAGAGAGAGAGAGAGAGAGAGAGAGAGAGAGAGAGAGAGAGAGAGAGAGAGAGAGAGAGAGAAAGAGAGAGAGAGAGAGAGAGAGAGAGAGAGAGAGAGAGAGAGAGAGAGAGAGAGAGAGAGAGAGAGAGAGAGAGAGAGAGAGAGAGAGAGAGAGAGAGAGAGAGAGAGAGAGAGAGAGAGAGAGAGAGAGAGAGAGAGAGAGAGAGAGAGAGAGAGAGAGAGAGAGAGAGAGAGAGAGAGAGAGAGAGGAGAGAGAGAGAGAGAGAGAGAGAGAGAGAGAGAGAGAGAGAGAGAGAGGGAGAGAGAGAGAGAGAGAGAGAGAGAGAGAGAGAGAGAGAGAGAGAGAGAGAGAGAGAGAGAGAGAGAGAGAGAGAGAGAGAGAGAGAGAGAGAGAGAGAGAGAGAGAGAGAGAGAGAGAGAGAGAGAGAGAGAGAGAGAGAGAGAGAGAGAGAGAGAGAGAGAGAGAGAGAGAGAGAGAGAGAGAGAGAGAGAGAGAGAGAGAGAGAGAGAGAGAGAGAGAGAGAGAGAGAGAGAGAGAGAGAGAGAGAGAGAGAGAGAGAGAGAGAGAGAGAGAGAGAGAGAGAGAGAGAGAGAGAGAGAGAGAGAGAGAGAGAGAGAGAGAGAGAGAGAGAGAGAGAGAGAGTAGAGAGAGAGAGAGAGAGAGAGAGAGAGAGAGAGAGAGAGAGAGAGAGAGAGACTCTACTGCACTTACAAACAGACTGAAAGAAATTAACTTTGATAATACTTACACGTGCGACAGACAAGTTCCTTCGATATTTCTGAACTAGATGTTGGTGGCTCTACATCCATTGCAATTACATTGCCCGGAGCTGTTTTCATAATCTCTCCATGTTCATTGATTGCAACTGTGAGTCCACTTGAACGCTGTGACACCTGAAGAAAAGAACAAAAAATCTCCAAGAAAATTCTTGAAACTTGTTCCCACTTTTTCCTAAGATGTAAATAAATGCCCCGAAAGAATACCTAAGTAATATCTCCTTTAGTCGGAATCCCTCATACCCGGAACTTTCCAATAGCCAGAATTTTAATTTTCTCAGAAAGTTGTTCCCAAAGCCGGAATTTTCCGGTTTGGGGAAAGATAATCCGAGGGGCACATTTTCCGGAAAATTTTCCCGATACCCAGAAAATTCAGGGGATTGGGGAGTTTTTCTGGGTTTGAGAGATGAAAATGAGGTGCATTTTATGGAAATTCCGAGAAAATGTTTCCGCTACCCGGAAAATTCCGGGGATGAAGGATATTTTTCCGGGTTCAAGAGATGATGTAATGGGCAATTTCTGGAACTTCCGAGAACATTTTCCCGTTAGCCGTAAAATTTTGGGGATGAGGGATATTTTTCCGGCTTTGAGAGAGTCTCGTTACCCGGAAATCTCTCATCCCCGGAGGTGTTCTGCACCAATTGTTCCGGCTAACGGAGATATCACTGTAGAGTAATTATTCTCTTCCATTCTCATTCCCCATTCAATAGAGCTACGGTACTGGATATGGCACAAAGATCTTTTTCTTTTTAGTATTATATTCATTGCATCTGAACCATTTCTCACGCTTGTACAAAAAAAAAATAAATAAATAAGTAAAATAAAAAAATAAATAAATAAAAAATATATAAAATAAATCAATTTATTCTTTCTTAAAATCAGAACATAAAATGAAATGAGGTGTGTGTGTGTGAGGCACAAGTTTGTATAATAAGTGTGTTGTATGAAGTAACAGAGGTGTACAGATAATGAGTGTTCATGCATGCAGTAACACATGTGCAAAGATGGTGTATATATGTACAGTAGCACAGTTGTACCTCATAGGTGTAAATGAACACAATAATAGAGATACACAGCAACTGTGTAAATGTATACAGTAACTTTGAAGTACACAAAATTTCCTTTGACATACAAGAATCTGATTACCTGATATAACTGGAGATGAGAATATGATGTTGCAACTTATCATGCCCTCCAATTTGATTTTGGTGTTTGGTATACTCTCACAATCTTACTCATATACAGTCTCTCCTCGACTTACGACAGGGTTCCGTCCCGACAACCAGGTTGTAAGTCGAATTGATCGCAAGTCGAAAAGGCGAAAATAATACATAGAAATTCTAAAATGGGTGTCTCTTTTTCTTCTCAGCACAACGAGAAACTTTTAAGCTTGCCAGCCATTTTAAAGGGAATTACAACGAAAATTTTGTCAGTACACAGAGCGATCACTAACGTCAGGACTCGAAAATACGTAATGTGAAAAATATTTTATACGACCATGGCCGTCGTATGTCCGGGTTGTTGTAAGTCAAGGAGAGACTGTATAATACATCAGTTTCCATATACTGTACAGGTACTGGTACTGTATATTCAATATTAAGGCTCCTAAACAATCACCAATTTCCAAACTTCCAGACTTAGAACTGTCTACTTACCAAATGAAGCTAAATTTTCCAATGGCTATTAACCGAGAAGTTGACTAAAAAAATTTTTTTTCTTGTTCAGATTCATAAATTACTTTGGCTATGTTGCTGAATAACATGACTTTATTTCACTACAACTCTCCATTCAACCTACGACCCATTCTTTCATTATTATTAATTTCTTTCACTTTATTCTATTCCTACTCCATACAAACTTCATTCTAATTAAACTGTATATTCAATACTAACTAATATAATCAAATCATATACAAAAACTGCAAAATTATCAATACTGATTAGTATCTCAAATAGTCTATCCTTTATTGGGCCATTCTGATTGATTTAATATCTAGTAGATGAAAACGTGGCATTTTTTGTTTTGCACATTTCATATGCGCCCTTCCTCATTCAAAGTATGTTGGCACAGCACAATCTTCAGTAACACCTCAGCTACCATGCACTTCCCCACACTCAAGTGTTGAAAATGCAATAACAATGTTCAAATATATACTGAAGAAGTTTTGCTAGTTTATTTTTATCATAAAAATAAAGCAAACAAGCAGTACAAATTCAAAGAGTAAATTATTCCTACAGATACAGGTTAAACCTTGATTTAACGGCACTGGTTTTACTGGTGACTCACATTTAATGGCAAAATTTACCTAGAGATCGTAAATTTGAAAGGCCCGCCCGCAATTTCCACTAGTTCCTCTACCTGCTGCAACGGTCCCACAGTGCTGCAGTCGGTTTATTTTGGCATTAAGTCCAGCCAGTGCTGTGATCATGTGATCGCCTCAAATTTCTACATTCTTTGTAGTACTGTATCAATTATGGTCTCTAAGCAACCAGAAAACCCTACCGGAGTTAGTGACACAAAGAAGGGAGTGGAAAAGCGTAAGCACATGAAATCAGGGAAACACGAAGATTTAGAAAAGTACTCGATGCAATGGTTTCATCAGCGACCCCCCCCACCCCCACAGTACTTCTATTAAACGGCATGATCCAGATTCCGTCGATGCCGTTAAATCGAGGTTCAACCTGCACAAATAAATTATCTCTGAAATGGAAATACATTATGTGAAGGAGTGTGTAGAGTGTAAGAGTGCAGTAAACTATCAAGTGTGAAAAACTCCAGAAGTCACTTTTGTATATTTAAAGAAAACTATGTTTGTGCCATCTTACTTTAAATACAAGAATCTTATTGAATATACAGCAGAACCTCGATAATTCACAGATGACCCAGGAAAGGGTGTGTGAAATGTACAAAAAAAAAGGTGCTAGTTATAGACTGGCACGGGAGGATTCACATATGTACTGAACTGTATGCACATACACAAGTGGATTATGTGCAAACCAGCTGTGGTCTCACACCCCAGGATGTTCATATGACTCTTACTTATCTTGTATCCTGGGGCATTCCGGTAAAGCTGTGAAGCCAAAGTCATCTTCGTCAGTCCACATCAGGAGAAGGCAGTCTCAACGGCAATGCACACCTGCTCTAAGGAGAGTTTATGCTTGGAGATGATGCCTTTAAACTCTGCCTTATATGGATCAACAGCATTTGGTTCAGCAGACAGACACTTCTCCTTACTATTCTTCAAGATGCTATTTAATATGGGTTTTTTTCTTCAAGTTATCATTTCATGAAAGACTGTCGGATGAATTATCGAGGTTCTTCTATAAACAAACAGGTCACATCTGATACTAATCCTTCTAATTAAAGGTTGGCCAATATGAATGGGTAGTTTATGAAGCTTCTGTTAGTATGGTCTTTATTTTATGGGGCGAGCCATGTAAATACCTCCTCCAGTCATTTCCCTCACCGAACATAACTGAACACTAATTTGTACACTTCCCTCTCCTGACCTAAGTCTCTCATGCCATATTTATATATAATTTCAAACTCAATCAATCTTCATAATCACACCACCCTACACAGATAACCTATTTCACTTTTGTTAGTGTATTTTCCTCTTTATTTAAGATTCAGAGGAAGCAATGTTCTCTATTTGCTCGGGAGAAATATGGTTGATAAGTACATAAACTGCAGGAACTTGAGCATAAAAGGTGTGACAAAGAAAGAGAAGGAAACAAAATTAGAGAACCCTGTTCTTTACTATGTGTCAGTGAAGCCTGTTGTTCTTTATAACTACATGGAAATATAAGTTCAGGATTTGAACCCTAAGAAAATGTACATGTGTGCAATTGTGCACTGCACATCTGTTGTGAAGAAACTTGTCTAGTTAGCATGAGCCTGTGTAAAAACCAAGATTGAGAAGAAGATAGTTATTAGGAACATCAGAAAATGAAGAGTAGAAAATGAGAGAAATTCAACTTTACAGTAAAGAGAAGATGGGGCTCAGCTGTCACAGTTAAAAAAGATGAAAAGCTGTGGACTGGACCTTACCAAAAACTTAAGACACCATATATGGTTATAGCATTCCAATACACATGGGCAAGTGGTCCAGATATAAAGTGCAGTGGGTTGTTATAAAGATATACATACAAGTAATATCTCCGTTAGTCAGAATCCCTCAAACCTGGAACTATCCGATAGCCAGAGCTGAAATTTTCTTTGAAAATTTTTCCCAAAGCCTGAAAATTCCGGCTATGGGAATGATTTTCCGAGGGGCACATTTTCCGGAAAATTCTGGGGATGAAGGAGTTTTTTTCCCGGGTTTGAGAGACGATGTTCTGGGCAATTTCTGGAACTTCCGAGAAAATTTTTCTGTTACCAGGAAAATTCCAGGGATGAGTGATTTTTTCCACCTTTGAGAGATTCGTCTCGTTACTCGGAAATCTCCCATTCCCCGAAGAGCTCTGCACCAATTGTTCCGGCCAAAGATGATATCACTGTATATTCAAGTATAACAAAGCACACTGCTGACACCATAATTACACTCATCATAACAAAACAGTGATGGCAGAGAAAGATAAATACATGTCTAGATGAGAAAGGTGCAACAATGGTACTAGAGTATTATTAAACCACTAAAAACCAGGGTCACCTATTATTTGTGGTCTATGCTGCTTCTTAAACAATCCTCCACTATGCCCTCCATCCTATTCTTCCATCTCCTTGGTCTTCCCCTCTCACATCTACTTTCATAGAATAAACTCTTTCTAACAATCTTTTATTTCCCATTTCTCTCTATGTCCATACCACTTATGCAACCCTGGTCAGATGTCTGTTCAACATTTCTTGCATTTTCACATCTTCATCCGTATTTCTTATTCTGTACATCCTATTCACCCGACACATGCTCTCAGGCACACCAATTCTGTCACTTCCATTTTGTTCTACACATATGTACAAGGATTTTTGTATACACCCCAAACTTTGGCTTCTTTACCCTAGTTCTTTCTCTCCCTACATTTCTCATGCACACATTTCTTTCCCTCTGCCAATGTGACTCAGTTCATAACTTTTCATTCCATTCACTATTATGTCCACTTCCATATACAGTATCCGAAGCATCTCACTTCCTCAATTCAAATCAAGTCTATTCCTTCCTGTCCACCTTATTTTCACCTTATTTCTTCACATTACTACTGTTCACATTCACTATTAACTTTCTCCTCGGGCATATTATTCCAAACTAAAGCAAAAATAATTGTAATATATCTTCTGAATTGTCCCTTTGGGAAAACATTACAAACAGTGCCTGACTGACTTTATATTGGTATCCTGTACTTCTACTGTATTTATCAAATTTGTGTTACTCTTCTATTACTTTGATTTCACCTCTTACAACTCCATCTATGAAAATAATAGTCATCTATGGTGACAATACACATCTTGTAGACCTACAGTACTTCTACTGGCTTCCCACTACCCACAACACATTAACAAATGCTACATCATCCTATAAACACATTGAATGGCACTCCACAATTTCCCACTTATCATACACATCACCCTATATCTTCAAATTTCAGCAAAATCCTTTCAACATATCTAATGTATCCCTAGAAGTGGGGCAGCCAATGGGATATACACTAATGCCCACCTTCTGTCCTCAGGGTTGCAAGGGCACCCTCAATCCACTAAGACTGGGTAAGTGAAGGCTGTCAAGTACAATACTGTACTGTACTGGCTATACTACCGTATTCTGTGTACTGAAGGCTTAGTATTTGGTGTGCTGTATCTATGCTGCCAGTAATGGGCCACAAGGATTCCAGGACCTACTTTTACAAGTGTAACCTTATTATTATATTATTTACAGGACACTGAGCATTGGTGAAACACCGGGATAAAAATTTTGTGTCCCAGCAAATTCTCTACCACTCCAGGAAACCAATTCAAAAAGCCCGGGGTCTCAGATTATTTTAATTAAGTTAAGATAAAAACAACAAATTAAAGGGATAGTAATTCTTTAAATCAGTCATTCATCTTGTCAAATGGTCACCTTGCTCTGCAGTAATGCAACAGATGGTAATGTTTAGACAATCAAATTAAGCACCGACATGAAATAATCTCTGGCCAACACCCCCAATGACCAAACACACAACTTATCCCATCCCAGTTAACAGTGTAAACTAATTGACCTCAATCCACTTGTCCAAGCCCACTGGTTCATATTACTGTGTGTGTGTGTGTGAGACTAGGAAGGAACAATAGTGCCTGGATCAGAAGTAGGAACAACAACTGTGAAACATCCATGTCAATATTGTATTAACCATAAGATCAAAATGAATTTTCACATTTGGTTGCATTTGCACCTGTCCTTAGCTATGATATTTGATGAACTAGATGCTCTGACTCCCAACTTCAGAACATCTCTCATCAAACTGTTATTACAGTAAATTTACCCAGAAGCACTAGAATTACAAGCATTCATCTCAGCTTAAAATTGTGTGTTGGGGACCCAGTAATGCATTTTACTAAATGCCCTGTATAGAGCAGTAATATATTTTATGTTAAATCTCAGTCAGGTTGGTGGTTTTGGCTTTTAAGTGGTTCTAAGCTAGGTAAGTGTACACCTCTGTATATAATTGAGCTTGTTAGTGTTAATTTTGATCACTTGTGGAATCAAACCACTGTTGGCAATCTGCTTTAAGAGCTAATAATTTCCTTCATAATCTCTAAAAAATTTTACTTTCCCAATACCTTACTCATATTACCGGGTACTACATCCCATGTCTCCATCCTCCACTATCATAAAACATATGAAAACAATTCAACTTATTTTGGATCTCCTTTCTAAATTCATATACCATACACCGCACAGGAAAATTTGCATACACACACAAATAATAAAAAACACAATGTGCATGTTTCATCTATTCTATAGCATTTGATAGTAAGAAACTATCAATATAATTATGCTGCATGAGAATTCTGAACATCTCTATTGCTCTTGGAGGATGAAGCATCCTTTTTGTTTGAGCGACTGAATCATCCCTTATAAAAAGAGGTTTGGTTAATTTTTTCTTCAGATGACAATTGTGTGACTGGCAGACAAACAAACCTCCAGTGTGACAAACAGATATAAGTATCACCTCATAAGACTCCAACATTTACGTCTTCAGGGCAAGAATGAAAAAGATGATAAGCTTAATGCATTAATGGAGGGATTGAAAAAAATCAAGGTAATAAAAGAATACTGAATGTGCAGATATGCTCTGGACAAAATGTTTAAGAGAAATTTTGTATGATTTCCTATGCACTTTGGGAAACATCACATCAGATAACTTAATATACTAATATCAATACAAACTCAGTAAGAACAAAATAACTTACCTCATCAAGAATGGTGTTCATGGACACAGTGGGGGCAGGGGTGCTTGGTGACAAATAAGTTTGATACCGTGCATTTGCAACACCACCTATATCCTCTAACACAACTGAGCAATCCCGGCTTAGTTTATCTCGTTTACTATTCACATGAGACAAGCTGAAAAAATACAGTAATCCCATTTCAAAATCAAATTAAAGCTTCACCAAAACAAACATTAAACTAAACATTGCTAGAAGAAAAAAGTAGGTGGATATACAATTTTTTGTTCATTAGTCTCAAGTTTGAAAGAAAATTAAAACTACAAATATGACTGAAAAACAGACCAATGATGCACAAAAACACTAATAATGTGGCAAGAAATCTAAAAAAAAAAAAAAAAAATTCTGAGTCTTCACCACAGAGACAGGTTTATCCAAGATAAAATTTGACATGGCCATACTGCAAAAAAAGAACAGCCAGCATATTAACCAATTGATAATTTGGAAAAGTAAAGTAAAGTACAGTACAGTATATTGAAAGTAACGTATGATCAGTCTCGAGAGGCTTCCCTAATATATGAAGTTTTTGTCAAAAGGTGATGAAGGTTTTTGGTTACTGAACTTTAAAATATATTATTGCAGCTATTTGATGTTTTTTACTTCTAATTACTGTTCTGACATGACATGAAATTTATATAATGTTCTGAAGGTGAATCATGGTGAGCCCAACCCCTTTTCCCCACCTGGGTTACAAAATCCACATGGAAAAAGTTCTAAAATATTGCTTAATACATGTACAGGCATATAAACTATTCTCTTATTAAGTCTTTTGATTTCTTTTTTTGTTAATACTATTTAAATATTGCAAGAAAAATTAAATTGTAAATTACACAAGTCTAGCAGTACCCACATAAAAAATTATATCCTAAAGTATTGTTAAATGTACCTGTACAAGTATACATAAAAATGACAATCCAAAACCTACAGGTGACAAGGCCTTTTATCCATCTTCCAACTAACATTTATTCCCATAAAATACTCTTCTCACTTGGCTTTTATCTCCCTTTGCAATGGAATTGTAATAAGAATGAAAGAAGAAATACAGGTACAGTACTGTACAGCAGAAAAAATACAAATACAAAAGAGATGAGGTGATTATTGTGAATAATTGCTAAAAACAGATGAGTGAGAGGGGGATTATCCTGTTTAGCACTTGACAGCTTAAATAGCATCAAATGCAGGACAGGAAAAGTAATACAGAAGTGGAAAGTGATAGCGGATGTTCACTCAAGAATGGTATGGCACCAGAAGCAAATGGGGTCACCATTTAAATGTTAAGAATGGGAGGTGGAATAGAGATTGAAAGGATGACAAGAGTGTACTGTACCTGCTATGTATGGCAATGGGAAGGGTATCAATTGGCTAGCAGAGAGCATTTGTAGTTCCCCTAAACAGGAATACCTTGTTATTCACAGTGCCACTTATCTGCAATTGATATTTTAACACCCCCTATTCAATATTCGCAAAGCATACGCTGCTTGTTCGCAAATGAAAGATTACGATACCCGCAAGTAATATTTCAAACCGGGTGGGCTAGCCGCAGCTCTCATATTCCGATGTACGACCCGCTTCATACGAGCACTTGTTTCCACGTATATGGACCCACGCAGTTTAAAACTTACTGTAATGAAATTCAATGGGACCATTCACATGGAGCGTGTGTGAATATTCACACACAGGAGATGCTACCCCACGTCTGTACCTAAATTTCCAAACCATGACATGAAAAAATATGCAAAGCATTCTAGAATTCTTCATATGGCATTAGTAAATGCTAGTTTAAATGTTTAAACACACACACTGCATCCTTGATCACTGGAGGGTCAAGACCTATCAGGCACTGCTCCTGCTATGCAGCTGTCCCCCTTGGCCAATGTTCGGGCCCATTCCCCATGTCCCTCTCCCCGACCCATCCTCACCACCGGGATATCAACATAATCAAAAGTGACAATTTCGTTTCGGAAAGAAGTGGGATCAGTGTTGAACAGTGATGAACAGTGTTTAAGCCAGTGAATTCAGCACTAGACAGTACCAGTGAGAGCCGTGACCCACCAGTGAGATAAGCACCCCTGGGAACCGACCACCATCTTCTGACCAGGCGGTGTTATTCAGTCCACCCTGGGAACAACAGTGGGCCGGCTTTACACCTGACTACGAGATAACACAACATTATCTAGCAGAGTGAGGTACTGTGAGACCACCCCACACCACACTGTCTCCATGACTAAGTGAGGTCCTTCATATTAACATCCGAGGACGAGTTATTACACCACGTGAACACCACACCAACCGATGTCTACATGAGCACATTAGGTCCTTCATATCAACACCTGAGGATGAGTTACTACACCATGTGAACACCACACCACCCGATGTCTCCATGACCACATGAGGTCCTCCATGTCAACACTTATGGACAAGTTACTGAATCATGTGGCCTACGTGACCTTACACAATATGGCAAGAGACCAGCCCAGGCCATCAACTGCAACTATAATAATTTGTATGATCAATTCATGTTCCTTCTCCTTTCAGTAATGAAAGCTTTTGTTAAATGACCCACCAACCTCATGTCTTTGTATGTAATAAGTCATTTTTGTCTAATGTATATTTTCAGCCTTTGGGCTGCAGAACTTTTTTAATAAACCGTTAATTATTATTATTATTACACACGCACACTTCATTCACCACCAAGTTTGCCAACTCTTCCCCACCCATTGACTGCAACTGACTGGTTCACCAAATATATATCATTGCCATCGAATCAGAATTTGAGATCAATATGAAGAAGATCAATCTTGTTTCACTTAAGGCATTACAAAATTATAATCACTAGCATATTTCAAATTATAGCAAATGGCAACTGCTCATATAGCTCACAAACTACACTGTTGCCAATTAATCAAATTTCTTGCATCGCAGAATGAACCGGCTATATGGAAATTTCTTGAATGAGACCAGCATGATTGAGCAGGTATATTTATATCTAAGTGATTTTTCATTTTTTTTCCAGGAATTTATAGGAAAATATAGGTAGTATCACAAGCAGTGGTCATTTTAATATTTATTTTTGAAGAAAAATTAGCTTATTTTTAGATAATTGTCATTAGTGAGTATAAATAATTTCTGCCAAAATGCTACAAAAAGCAATTTGAAAAAGCTATAATACTTTCTGGAGTTGTGCCCCAAACCCCACTGAGGGAGCCATCGCTCACCCCACACCCCCCTAGCTTTACCCTTAGACCCCAGACATATTTCAGTAATTTCTTTATTTTTAAATCTATTGTCACCTTATAAATGAATTAATCAATATGAGGAAAATACAAAGAAGAATTTACATACATTCAACTTTCATTGAAACATTATTGGAGAGTTACTAGGTGTTAATGAGCAGTGTGGAGTGATGAAAGATGTTTTGTTTGAAACTACATACAGTGCACAGCCCATAGTGAGTGGATGGTGATATGCACTTGTAACACACAGCTCTTACTTGAAGGTCCTTTTATATCATATGTTTTTCTTATAGCTACTACAAAACACAAAATACCCTGTACTTATATTTTCCTCAAAAGAACTATAAAATACTGAACAGTAGTAATATTTAGGAAGCACAAAACTTATCACTATTTTCAAATATATCCACTATTTACATGTACGTATACTTAATTCAGAACTTCTTGATCGTGTGGAAGTCTTGCACCAAATCACCCTATCTTTGCGCCGTGGTTCACGGTAGCTGGCAGATTGGGAAGGGGAGGCAGCGCCAGTCTGTAGACCTAACACTGTCCTCACTGCCTCAGCAAACTTAACATAATCTGGGTTCTGTTTCCTCCCCATCATTGTCTTCGTCACCCAATACAGTGGGGTATGCTATAACGAACGGATCCTACTACGAATATTCCTATAACGAACGGTTTTACCTATAAAATTGAGAATGCTATAACGAACAAAACTCCTACAACGAACATTATTTAAAAATTTTTTTTTTTTTTTTTTTTACTAATTTATTGTTTTTTTTATTACAAGTATTAATGATACTCTTTATTTCAGGGGTTTAGATGCATATTTATGCACTTTTTTACAATTTTATATTATATTTTTCAGTGTTAAGTGGTTGTATTTGTGGGCCTGGAACGGATTAATCCTATAACGAACGAATGCTATAACGAACAAGGTTCTAGAACCAATTAGATTCGTTATAGCATACCCCACTGTACTATATCAATGCCACTCAAATCAAGCAAAGCAACTCCTGATGAACAGCACTACTGTCAAGCAAATACCTTCACTTGTGCTTGGGTGTGGAGGAGTGAGGTGGGTCATATAGAAGGTCTAAGGACATGCATCCCTCACAATATCTGGTGGGTAACTGACCATGAGGCACGAGTCTTAAGACAAAAACACTCGAGTTGCTAATTAAACAAATATCCCATATAAAGTATTTCCTCCCGCTTGGACATTCAAAACATGCCACATAAATTAAGAACATTCAGGAACGTCACCAAAGGTTGCCTAGACTAAAGTTCAGGAATGTCACCCGGGGTTTAAGGGTCATTAGCTCTCGCTAATTTACATCACCATCTGAATTAGTACCGGTCGTTAAGAAATTGGCAGCACACCCCTGAGTTACTGTCTTATTAATAACAAAAGCCCATATTTGATTTACTCATTTTTTATTTATACAGCACTACCATTTTCAAAAATTTAAGTACAGTACAGGGTATTGTATCTCGTAAATCAAGAGGTTCTGGTACATGTAAATATAGTACAGTACAAGCTGATAAGGACTGTAAGAGTGTTTACGTTGCCGATGAGAAGCAAAGCAGGACAATTTCTCCCATAAGAAATAATGTACAGTAATAGGGTAAGAATAAGGGACTGGATTTTTTAGTAATTTTCTACTTAACACCTTATGCCCCAGGCAATGTAAAACCAGTAGTACCACCAACACAGGCATATTTCTGCAGTTTTGTATTTGATTTTAATCCAGTTGAAATAAAATCAGTGAAGTCACTCCACGCATACTGTTGTGACTGGCATGCATGTGGTCCCCTACGTCCACCACGGCGCCCATGACCACAACCATGCTGAGGGGGTGGCTGGTGGGATGGGAAAATGAGAGCCACTGTCTGTACTGTGTGTTACTGTTCTCACCACTGGCTGCCTCAAACTTTATATCATCTAGGTCTGTTTCCTCCCCATCACTATCTTCATCACCCGATACTATATCAATGCCACTCAAATCAAGCAACTCTTGATGAAAAGCACTACTATTAAGGATGTGGAGAAGCGAGGCGAGTCACGAGACATCGAAGGATGTGCATCCATCATGATAGCGATGGGTAACTAGACCAATAGACTTGAGACAAAGATTAAGTGCGAGTTGAGTTGCCAAATAAATAAATATCCCATACAAAGTATTTCGTCGTGCCTGGACATTAAAAATATGCCGCAAAAATTAAGAACGTTGAGGAACGTCGCCCAGGGTCGCCTTAGTGAACGTCGAGGAACATCACCCGGGATTTAACGGTTAAAGAAAAGATAAAGCATTATAGTGTAAGAGAGCACATAATTTTAAGCATTTTAAAAAGATTTAACCTTAACCACTGACCTAAAATTTGTTTACCTTGTTTACTATGCTTAATATCCTGTGTAATACTCATACACCTTTTCTTCCTTTCACCACCTGTGCTTGCACTACATTTGTCACTCATTATTGAATGACTGTAAGGATAAATCTAGATATAGCTGATGCTGAATATGAAGTTCAACCGCTACTCACAGCGCGATTGAACACAATGGGGCCAAGATTTAAGCTCCGACATTGTTTATATGAACACAATGGGGCCAAGATTTAAGCTCCGACATTGTTTATATGAACACAATGGGGCCAAGATTTAAGTTCCGACATTGTTTATACCGAGTTGAAAATAATGGAACGACGGTGGTGCAGGGAATTATTTTTATGTTGGGTTCTTCGATTAGTCGATGTCAGCAGTGCAAAACAAGAGATAGAGGGGACGTCCTGTACCATTTAATACCAAAAATGTGGCATACTGTACACACTGCTTCCCTTGATCATTGAAAAGTCAGCTAGTGGTCATAACAACACTAAATTACTTTTTGAACAAAAGGACTGTGTGGAGACTATAAATACAGAAAACATTATTAAAAAAGTATATCTAAATAAAGTGTGTCAGAACAAGGAGAAACAAAATGTGTGGAAGAAAACACCAAGGAAATAACAGGGGAAAGAGGGATAATGATGGAAGAAGCTTAAAGTAATACCTGATTCACACTATACTTCACATGAACTCAATGGAAGAGAGTTAATCCTACCGTTCATAATATTGTGATGATCCTATATGGGAGGCATGAGAGACACTGTGCTGTTTCCTTCTGTTGGCTAATTTTGTAGCTATTGAATCAATCCTCGAACTTCCCTGCATAGCAGTTCTTGCAGGCTTTTTCATTGTGACAGAGGCAGATGAGGTAGAAGGATGAGGATGTACATCAGGAGGAGGCTCTGGCTCAACAACCACTGTATTGGACTGGCTGGTGATACCTTGTACATTATCCTGTTAACAAAAACCTGTTAGTTGTTTTGCTACATTTCTATAGAGGTGGTCCCCGACTTACGAACATCCGATTTTCGAACGCCCGCCAAGACGAATGAGGTTAATCTTGAAATTTACAGTATTTTATTTACCCGACAACTTATTTTTTACTTTCATTTACTGTATTTTTTTTTATTCTATTTCTTATTTTGTCATAAATTAAGTGATTTTTAGATGTATATAAGGACTTAAGCTATGATATAGTGGGATTTTAAACCCTGTTCTGTAAATACGGTATACACATAACTTGTGTTCCGACTTACGTACAAATCCAACTTAAGAATGTCCTCAGGAACGGAACCCGTTCATAACCCAGGGACCCCCTGTATATGGTAATGTTTTAAAATTAATGCAAATTATGTCAAACTACAGTAGCACAATTTTCTCGTAACTCAATGAAAACCTGACATCGTATATAAAAATATAATGTATAAAGCATTTGTAACACAATGCAGTATTCTACTAAACAAGACTGATTTCCTTCACATGGTGTCTAATACACAAAATTTATTGTTTTCAAAATGAACTTGGCTTTAAGCCCTAAACCATTACCACTACTATCTTTTTATGGCACTTCCCACACTTGTATGGGTTATCCGCATACTGGATAGTCACATGCAGCCTCTCTCATCAGGTTCTTATCTGAGACAATTTCTTATAAGCTTTCCCCATGTCATTCTTGGTTTACCCCTAACTCTCCTCCCCCTCACATTCAAACTCGTGCATCTTTTGACCATGTTGGTCTCCTCCATTCTGTCCACAAGCCTAATCCATCTAAGCTACCTCCACACAAAACCTCACCAATACTCAATACCCAGCTGCCCTCTTAGCTTTGAATAAGGTTTCCTATCTTTCAATGTCATATCACACATTAATATCACAATTCTCATTTCAGCTTGTTCAAACCTACATATGTCATCCTCTTTAACTACCTATGTTTTGCTGCCATACATCATCACACTTTTCATGCAAATACAAAGCCATCTTGCCATCCATAAAGGTAACAGATCCCTAAACTTCTTCCATGTCAGAAAGGTAACAGATCTCACCAGCACCATCCAGGGATATATCCCAATGTTGAACTTTATTACAGTACTGTACCTCTAAATTTAGTGACCATTTTGTACATTTTTATCACTGAAAACACATTCTACACAGATATGGAGCCCCATAGATTGCTAAATCAAACCCTCATCATGGGACTAATGGTCTTCCTCAACATTAAGGAAACAGGATGTGTTCATGAGATTCTAGATAAAGCATGAGGTCCAGTCCAGTTGCTCAGTGTAGGATGCATTCAAAAGATGATCTCCAAACACTGGTCATAATATGAGTCTCATGTAGTCTCTTTCAAATACTTCATGAGTGCAGCACGTCTCATGAGGTCTTCCCTTAACAATTCCTTTACATTTTCTTCCTATCAGGAACAATACCTTTACATTTTTTCCAATCTGGAATATACTAACACATAATCATGACACCTTCATCTTCAGTTTCTTGGCTTCAATTATCTGAATGCAGTTTACATAAAGCACTTACCTTTTACTAGGTTTCCTTCCTAGTAAACCCACAATAAAAAATGGTGTACTCGGTGAATATCATGACTACTTACTTTGTGAAATAGTGTTCTAACATCAGCATACTCTTCTTGGCAGTATATTCTCTTGTGTGCTAAAAAGTTTACCACTGACCGGAAAAGATTGTGACAAACTTTGCATTCTAGGATCATGTCACACTCCTTGAGGATGATGTTTCGCACCTGAAAAAGAAAAATCAAGTAAAAACTTACATAAATTAGGGTTTTATGAATTTTCAAGGTTTGTCGAATTCACTGTTCAGACAAACTACATTCAATAGTCATATCACTGTGCACCTAACACAAGAAATATTGAATACATATAAAACACTGGGAAGTAACATTATTTGTCAAATATTAATTGTGGGACTTTTATTCCCTTCAGATTTAAAGCTTACAAACTATTAAAGCAGTAAAACTAAACCAAAACAAAATGTTTGCTTCACTCAGTGAGGCAGGCCAAAAGGTTCAAATTGTGAGTGCCTACAGGTATTTTGAAGACCTTAACCAGACCTGAAGCCTCAATGGACCTTCAGTTATACATCGACTCAAATGGGATCACATCCTTTGACTTCCATTCAATATAATGAAGAAGTGTTGTTGCTGCAAAAACTTTGTCTGACCTTGTCTGTGAGGAAAGTGTAATGAGACATTAAACATGTTAAACTCTCAGTAAAAGGCAGACTCTGTCAGAGGTATTTTAGCAATATGAAGCACAGTTCACTCACTGCTGAACCAAAATGGATGGTTAATTTGTGTAAATCCAAAATATATCAAATTACAGTATAGTCTGCATTTACGCGGTCAATTGAACCCGTGGAGGCCCGCGTAAAACGAGAAACTCGTAAATGAAATAACAGAGCATATGGGATTGATTGAAATAGAGACTGGGCCGACCCCCAAACTCCACTTTTTCCGACACAATACGTATGTTGTAGTAAAAATAACATTATATTTTATGATGGTATGAACACACAATTAATAATCAAGAGAAATATCAATAATATTAGGTTTTTTTCACACTTACGTTAGCAGAAAAGCTGGGTCGGCACACGTGGATGGCGGCTGGTTCCGAGGCAGAGGGCAGATTAGTTGCCCTCCAGTGAATCACTTTCACTACTCGCAGAGGTTTGCAGGGCCTCCCAGACAAACCTCCCAAAGTCCATATCCTCACTGTCAATATCACTATCACTGACTTGGGCTGGCTGTGGTTGTGGTGGGTTGCAGGCGAGGAAGTCCTCAATGTCACGTTGACGACTAGCATTGATGCTGTCGAGATAGATCTGGATATACGGCTCCATAAATTTCGTCAGATGGTTATTAGACACTTCATACCGATGCTTGTCTGGGTAGTTGTCAAGGATGAGCTTAAGTTTCTCCCCCAACTCGATGATTTCCTTCACATTATCATGGCTTGGTCCAGGTAATTCAATGCTTTTCTCTGGTGGTGGGGGTCCCACGTATGCCATTGTGAGTTGTGAGGGGAATAGCGAGCACAAGAGAGAACTGTATACGCGGACTGAGAACAATGAGACAGGCCCTGCAAGGTCAGCGACTTCTACCTTCTGGTGGCACAGCACATCATTCTACATTAGACCAATCACAGCTAGCGGCGGAGGAAATGCGTGGGTGGTAAGGATGCGTGGCCCAATCACAGTCCGATACGTCATATGAGGTCAGCGATAACATAAGAGCAGCCTAATGCGCACCACTCACCGCGCCGCTTCCCGCGTATGGTCAAGAATGGACCACGTGGGTAAAAAATGGCGCGGCGGTATGGACCTCTCCAGCCGCTCACTGCGTAAATGACCATATTTACCGCGTAATAAAAGCATTTTCATTCTGGCAAGGCACCGCGTAAATGACCAAACACGTAAACAAAAACCGCGTAAATGCAGACTATGCTGTATTATGTGAAACTGCCATTTTTATGTTTCAACATCAATAATACTGTACATCCAATACACTTGAGTACCATTAATTGATAAAAATGACAGTTCACCATGCTGGCTCACCTCTTCTGTTGCTGAAACAAGCAGTCTGGCTATGTTAGCTACACCATTGGCAGAGGCATTGATAGAACGCTTGAGTAAAGAGTAATCTGGGTCTTCTGGGAGATCAAACACTTGGACCCCCTAAAAAACACAAATGAAAATTATCAATAAAGTGATGAACAAGAAAGAATCAAAGGCACAATTATACTTAATTTTTTTTACAAACTGTGGATCATATCAAGCATGTTTGCACCATGACTGCAGATATTGTTGGTATGATTGGAAGATTCATTTATAGACTGCAGAATAAGATACTTTCAAAAACACTGCACTACTTACCTGGTAGAATACTATAAGACAAATAATTATACTCACAGTATTAATATCCTGCCCTGTGTATTTTATTTTTGATGTGTTAGTCTTGGTAGAAGTGTGTGTACTGGTACTGCCACTTTGGCTGCTGCTGTTACTGCTACCCACATGTTTTGTACTGATAGAAGATGAGGTAGGTGCTTTTAAATTGCTGCTGCTGGTATTTGAGGCACTAGTGTGACTGGAGCCTGTTATTTTGCCTGAAGTACTAGCTGTGCCAAGTTTACCACCAGGTATGCCACCTTTACTGCCACTTGCTTTAGTGGTTTTAGAAGTGGCCTTGGCACCTCCATGACGAGCACCACCAACTCCTTTGGCACTCACAGGAACTTTTTTGGACAAAAGTTTCCGTGCCCTTTTCACCATATCAGGGTTGTTAAGCATTCTGAAGAAATAGACATCTGGTTAGTTGTTAATAATAGCAGACTTCTTATACAGTATAGCTTACCCTTGATTACATCAGGGGTTGCAGTCCTAAAAGTTTCAAACAAATTAAAATGGGAAGAAAATTCATTTGACATAAGTGTCATCTACTTTTGTGATGACAATACAGTATAGTCTGGATTTACGCAGTTTTTGTTTACGCGTTTGGTCATTTACACGGTGCCTTGCCAAAATGAAATATTTTAATTACGCGGTAAATTTCATCATTTACGCGGCGAGCGGCTGGAGAGGTCCAGACGCGCCGCACCATTTTTTACTCACGCGGTCCATTCTTGACCAAACGCGGGAAGCGGCGAGGTGAGGGGTGCACATTAGGTGGCTCTTACGTTATCGCTGACGTCATATGTCGTATCGGACTGTGATTGGACCACGCATCCTTACCACCCACGCATTCCCTCCACCGCTAGCTGTGATTGGTCTAATGTAACATGACGTGCCCTGCCACCAGAAGTCGCTGACCTAGCCAGGCCAGTCTCATTGTTCTCAGTCCGCGTATATAGTTCTCTCATGTGCCCGCTATTCCCCTCACAATGGCTTCCGCTGGACCCCCACCACCCTAGAAAAACCTGGACCAAGCCATGATTATGTGAAGGAAATCATCGAGTTGGGGGAAAAAATTAAGCTCATCCTTGACAACGACCCAGACAAGCATCGGTATGAAGTGTCTAATAACCATCTGTCGAAAGTTATGGAGCCGTACATCCAGATCTATCTCGACAACATCAATGCTAGTCGTCAATGTTGTATTAAGGACTTCTTCGCCCACAACCCACCACAGCCAGCCCAAGTCAGTGACAGTGAGGATATGGACTTTGAGGGGTTTGTCTGGGAGGCCCTGCAAACCTCTGCGAGTAGTGAAAGTGATTCACCGGAGGGCAACTAATCTGCCCTCTGCCTCGGAACCAGCCGCCATCCACGTGTGCCGACCCATCGATTCTACTAACTTTAAGTGTTAAACACCTTTAGATTTGTAGTTTTTATTTAGATATTATGTGTGTAGCAATACCATCATAAAATTATGATGTTATTTTTACTACAAGATACATATTGTGTCGGAAAAAGTGGAGTTTCAGAGTCGGCCCAGTCTCTATTTCAATTTACCCCATATGTTCTGTTATTTCGTTTAAACGGACCTCCACAGGTTCAATTGACCGCGTAAATGCAGACTATACTGTATCTGTAGCATCACTAACTAGCACAGTTTATGAGAACAAGTTGGGCAAAACACAATACTGTATGTGTGACTTTAGTTGCAAAATTCCTTCAATATTATGTAATTTCCTCCAAAAAGGTGCATAAACATCCAGTTTTATATTTGGGCAAACTATTTCCTATTCTTTGAATTTATACACTTATAAAAACTTATTTATATTATATAATGCAATACAGGATATAAGTATTGTTATCAAACTAAATAATACTGTAGTCATTTACCTGCTACAGCACAAGTATTACTCTCTCCTTGCTGACACTCTTCACATTATTGTCACCATTTCATTGCAGCACTGTAAAGTGCTCAAAGCCACCACTGTGGCTGATGTTAAACTTAATAACTTTTATCAATTATATATTAATACATATCTCTGCTAACAGAAAATAGATAGCAATTAATGCTCATTTTCCAATGCATTTGGAGTGCTGGTACAGTATTATACCTGGAAAAACATGGGATGATTGGATTAAAATAACTTCAACATTACATCACTGAACAACTAAAAAATTTACCAAGAGCTTACCGGTTAACAGTTTTCTTGTCAATATTGAAAAGACCTGCCGTTTTCTTCTTAAGTCCAAAGTTTTCATCACCTCCATTTTTGAAATAGTAATCCAAGACCTTTAACTTAAACTCATTTGTGTACGTAATCTTCTTGGAAGACGTTGCCATAATATCTGTAATAAAAGTAGTTTCTGATATTCATTTGGACCTCAGATTTACAGTTTATTCATTAATGCTTAAATAGTGTCTGAAGATGGACTCTGGTTATTCTCTTTTAATTTTCAAAGACATTCAGAAATATTCTAGTGTCTCAATACTTCAGAATTACAAGAGAATATATTTACCCATTAAGCCTTTTTCAACACGGTAATTAAAATGCAATGACTTACAACACACTGTTCTAATGCCATATTTTTCACATGAATCTGCAAATCTCAAAACATTCACCAAAGTACAGTATCAGTATCCTAGGTGGTAGTTTGTCTCATATGTTGAGTAATTTCTTTCTCTTTCCACTGCTAAAAACAACACAACTCAGTCACCTGGTACTACAACAAGGATAGCATACTGTTTGATAGTTTAGTTTACAGGTCAGGCCCAACAATTTTCCTTGAGTGACAAGGAAAATGGTTGGAGCATTTTAAAATTATTGTTTGAGAGTTCCAAATTTTATTATTGTTGTGGTCACTTTCAATTGAGAAACAAGTCCAAAATCTATAGCATCTTTCTTGGGTGCCAAGCAATTCTATTCATGATCAAGGAAAAGAATCATCAAGCAAGTAGGGAGCTGTGAAGAAAAAGTAGTTCGTACTGTACTGTACAAGAAAAGTGCAGAAAGTGACGGGAAGGAGTTAAACAGAAACAGTGAGTAGGAAACTCCACAACATATACATACTATCCTTAACTCATAAATGAACTGAAACAATCTTCAGACTGATAACAATTCTTCATATCAGTAACTGTACATACTTTACTAATTGTTTTTAATAATTTTCACCACTTATCAGCTTACTAGCTGTCCAGACAGTTGGTCTATCCACGAGGACACCGGACTCCGGGAAACCTGTGATGTTTGGTAGGATCACACTGTATAACACCCTGCTCATGTGTGTTTGGACCAAGCTGGATTTGAATCCTTGACATATTGGTGAGAGATTAGCACGTTACTGCTGTATAAACCAACATACCATATGGGTCATCAAGCTCATTCATACTAACACTATTGAACAACACCACTCCACTGTAGCTGCAAGATCTAAAAAGTTAAGAATAAACTGTATTTACAATGAATCTACCAACTACAGTATACTCACTGGTTTTCTTTGGGATTTGCAATGAAATTAGCTATAATCATGATAACAATGGCAGAAAACTGGCCAAACAAGACTTCTTTATAAACTGCAGTATTTGGGAGGCAATTTTTTGATGTACAGTATGTGCATCTCGTTTTGGGAAACTTTGTTTTTTCATGGGTTAGGTTAGGTTTAGATTAGGTCAGGGTTTGGTTTGGTTAGGTTGGGTTGGGTTAGGTGATGTGTTTTTAATGTTTTTAATACATTTTCTGTCAGCTTCAAAGCCCTACCCACTTGTGTGGGAATTTAGTATTCTTAAAAAAAAAGAAAAAAAAAGGGGGGGTACACATCTCTGAAACTAAACATTTCCACAAAAAAATAATATCACCACTGAACACAATATCAAAAAAGTCTAAAAATAAATAAAAAATCTAAGCTAAACTCATCTTCCAGACGTTATTTCGATTACTGCCCTGAAATCTTTCAAATATGCACAGAATCCAAATCTAGAGGAGGAGCATGGACAAAAATATTTTTTACTTTACTTAGTGAACAGCAAGCAAGTTGTGGACTCCTCATCAACAGCATTTTGGTGAACTGACAATAATCACCACTAAACCATGATTTAAGCTGGAATTAACCACCAATTGATTTGCATATGCATTTTACACAAATGTGGCACCTGTGTGTATCAAAAGAGGACCGATTAGAGCTTAATTCCAGCATTAGTAAAAGAAGAACCCAAAGCACCCTTAGAAAACCTGCAATGTTTGGTAGGATCACAATGAAAATATAGCCAGAGCACAGTGCCAAAAGGCACCCATCACCAACCACCAGCTTCACATGCCAATACTGTAACACCTTATTCTGCTCATATCATGATCTCGAGTTTAGCATTAACCACTGGAGGCTATTTGCATTTTCAAATGAAAGCAAATCCTGAGAAGAATTACAGTACACTAAAGTTGGAAAATTAGATAGTATTCATTCAAGTTCAAAATATATCTACCTCATTGACAGTTCTGATTTATGTTAAAAGGTAATCTAATGAAACTATTTCTTAATAACAATCAATTCTAGGATGAATTTGATAGAATTATTCCTGAAAAAAAAAATCATCGTATGCATTGACTTAACATCCTTCTTATCATCAAGTTACACCTGCTTGTCAGCATGTAGTCCAATCTACTTAAATTAACATCTCAAAATTTTTTTGAAAAACATCCAATGGAAGAAATGAGGAACACCTCAAAATTCTTTAGTTACCCCTTAATCACCTCTATTCTCTGTCGTATTTTATATTACATTTACTTTATGTAACAAAAATATAATAAATGGTCACTACACCAATACAACTTAGATTACGAATACATAAGGAGGCAGACACGAATGAGTACATTGGGCAACAGGCTGCGACGCGATGGCCGTGGGAGAGAGTGGACCAGCAGGGCAGAGGGACGAGTTGGCGCCTCACCACCACCACCTTCTATGCCTCAGTCCTGCAGTTATCCTAACATCAATCACTTCAACACCTATATGAAACAGTTATATCGAATAAAATGTTTACATTGATAATGTTCCTAAATACATGGCAAAGTTAACACTTGAAAAATTCCATTAGGAAGCTCAAGAAGGTGGCCCTTTGGCTTTGTCGCTCGCCCCCTCCGAAAGGGGATGTCGCACATCACTCAAGTTTCAGGATTTTCCTTGGATCAACAACTCGAATGCACATAAAAATTGTGTCTAAGACTAATACTCACTTGGCTGTATTAGTTCTGTGGGTTTCCTGCTTTTATAAGAAGAGGAATTCGTAATGTATTTAAACCATCAAACAGACGCCTACCATCCTCACTTGGCCGCGACTATTCACCTAGTGCACAGAGTGGCCGACAGATGGCATCTCCATCAGCCAGTTAAAACGCGTGTTTCCAGTGACGTAGTTAAGCGGGAGATTCAAAATGAGTATTATATTTTTTCCTCTGTTCCTACTTACTTTCAATGAGATATTTTTGAAACCCATGTACAATGCATATAAGCACCGCTAATAACTATATCTGCAGGTGCTATGAAAACTCTCAACGTAAGTAACACAGGAAAGAGATATAATGAAAATCAATACTTTTGGACCCAGGCAGCCATGATGAAGAATGGGAACAAACCGGGACACAGCCACCACGAGAACGCCCTTACACGAAGACATAGTCATGAACATGCAAACATCGAGCAAAAACCAACTTCCAGTGATTAAATGGTTTATTGTCATAACCTAGCTGCCAACTCCACAGTAAAATTCATAAAAAAATATAAAATTACGATTTTTTTTACTAATAATTTCATGGGAAACTTACAAATTATCAATTAATTTAAAATCCTTTACCCAACTTTGAAGAGAACAGAGTTTAAAAAATACAAAAGATTTGAAAATACTTTTACATGTATATTGTTTAAGACATATTGTTCAGATATAGTTTGGTTCACTGTGTCATGTCCTCTGCTTTGGAAAGGTTAACACGGTCGATGTAAATAACCTAGATCACGCATGGTGGTCACCCGTCATAACTTGCTACCAAATTTCATGTTAATCAGTGACTATCTTTTAAAATGGCATGTAGTTATATGATTATTGTTGTGTTATGATTTTGAGGTGTCGTTATTTCAAAAGAAGACCTTAATATTCATAACTTATATTATCAATTAATCATCGCTACAGTTACTGATAACTTGTTCAGTAGGTTATAATTATAACCACATGGATTGGTTTTCTAAATTCTGCTCAGGTTTGCAGAAACACGTGAAAATTGAGTTTCATTACTAAGGATAAAGAAGTCAATCAGATATAATTTATTAAATTTTCAACATTCAAATTCGAAACTGACTGTTTTAGGCATTTAAAGTGAAGTTGTTAAAATACACACACACACACACACATACATATATATATATATATATATATATATATATATATATATATATATATATATATATATATATATATATATATATATATATATATATATATATATATATATATGTATGTGTGTGTTTTAACAACTTCACTTTAAACGCCTAAAACAGTCAGTTTCGAATTTAAATGCCGGTTTAGATCTTGCAATGAGTCTTCAATCTACTGAGAAACGTGCCATCCTTATACATGAGGGTTGGTGACGATGCTGTAGTGGATTTCTCCCCTACAAACGCTGTTTGTCGCTGCCTAGCCGACCCCACCAATTCCCCAGTGTATGCCTCGTGGTCTGGGTCAACCAGCGCCGCCATACATCACGGAACGGGGGTCAACTGCTAAGCCACGCCTACCCCCGCTATTTAAGACCTGACCTCGTGGTGCTCTCGCTCTTTCTACGTACAGCCGCAGCCAGCAACACCTCCTCCTCCTCCGCCTGCCTGGCGGTCCTCGCTCCCGCCGGCGAGCATGGCGACCCACAAGCTGTCCTTCTCTGAGCATCCTCACCAACCAGCTCTCTCTACACCACGCTTGTAACCACGCTGCCTTCCCAGCACCAAGCTGCATTGTACATCCAATACAACATGTATATAGAGAGCACATCGTGAGTTTCCTTTCTCCACCCCATCCTGAGTGTGAACCAAAAATCTCATACCCCACAATGCACTGGCGGGTGCCGTGTAAATGGGAAGGGGGTGGATCAAAAGGGAGCAATTTTTTTTTTTCAAATGCACTTTAACTTTACTTATATCCTCTTCTCTTCGCTACTGATCAGCTCGTTAGCCGTTTGGGCGGTCGGTCACGTCTATGCTACACACTATTGGCAAGTATTGGGCATGTATTGGCTCCTGAATGCATCTGTATCTGCGCCGCCAGTGAGTTGGTCAAGTCTAGTTTAGAAAGAGCTCCCACTCAGTGCTCCCACAATGCTCTCTGGCAAATTGTTCCAAGAGTTTACAATTCTCACCCCAAAAAAGTTTGACCTGGCAATTTTCCGAACTTCTTTCTTCTTCAACCTTGAGCTGTGACCCCAAGTGGGGCGGGCGTCCGCCAGTTCCAGGCATGAACACTCGACCTAGTCGTGCCCTCTCAGATGTTTAAAAACTTCACTTAAGTTACCCCTTGCCCACTTATATAGTATACGCGCTTATAGGCAACTGCATGCGTTCTAATGTCTGGGATAACTGAGGTGCTGTCGCGACAGTAGCGCAGCCTTTCCTTTGAATATTTTAAATCAAGTGACTGTCTCCAGCATATCTCTGGACCAGATGGGTGACAGTACTCTAAACAGGGAAGCAGCTTACTCTTGAAGATCGTTACTTTTTACTTTTACTTTTATCCTCTTCACCACTGATAGGCTCGTTAGCTGCTTGGGCGATCGGTCACGTCTCTGTTACGCACTGTTGGCAAGTACTGGGCATGCACCGGCTCCTGAATGTACCTGAACCTGCTCCAGTGTTGGTCAAGTCTGGTCTTGAAAGAGCTCACACTCGGTGCCGTCACAACACTTTCTGGTAACTTAGATTGTTCCAAGAGTTCACAACTCTCACTCCGAAAAAGTTTGCCCTCAGTTTTCTGAACCTGCGGCTTCTTCAATCTTGAGCTGTGACCCCATGTGGGGCGAGCGTCCGCCAGCTCCAAGTAAGGACACTCGAGTAATGCCCCTTGAGATGCTTATACACGTCAAATAGGTCGCCCCTTGTCCGTCTGTAGTATAAGCTCGGCTAGTTCAGGCGCCCAATCTCTCAGGGTAGTTGAGGTGCCGATGTGCAGGCACCTTTGAACATTTTCAACTTCCCGATCCTTTCATGATGAAACTCAATTTTCACCTGTTTCTGCAAACCTAATTCGGTCACAAAATTATTAAATGATCTTGACATCTACAAAATAAATTGCATTGTTTGGTGAAATGATCATGATTAAAAACAGGTGGCGGGTTTTTTCCCACGTCCTTTATAAAGAACTTTGCAACACACACACACACCTATAATAATCTTCACGTTCCAGATGTTTAGTGTTGTTTACAAGGCAATTCTTCATAAACACCTTGCTGTAAACTGTTTAATAAAAGATGTTTCGAAATATATATTTAATTCTTTCCAATAATTTTCAGAAATATATTACTTTCACTGCTGATTCCTATTTGACGAATCACGAGGCCATCACTCGATTTTCTGTTCGTTAATAGTTAACAACACTAGCTAAGTTGTTGGTGTAGATTTTTTCTTTATTTCGTAATTATAACAGTACAAAGGTGTGTTTTGCAAGCGACATTTAGGCAAAAGTATTCAGGGTCTGTAGATGTCTAAAAATAATATTGCTTTCTTCTGGACATAGCTATTTCAATAAAATCTCTCACGACTCGGCCTGTAAATGAGTTTGTTGACGAAGTTGAAGCAGCTGCATGTCGTTGGTGGTCAAGAATTTCAAGATTTAGTTGTTATTGACCAAAATAAATGAAAAATTATACTAGTCAATTTTCTGATGTTTATCTAGTAACACCCACCTGGCGAGAACCCAACGACTATTATCTCCAACTGTTGGTGACTAACATTGTGTGAAGGGGAGGGGGGTGAGGAAATATGCTATAGACTAAACGGTTAACACC